ACACTTGAGGCTTCGACTAAAAATTTGTTTGTAATGTTATTTGTCTTTACACACCTGATCTGAAAACTTTTAAAGAAAGTCTAAAAATGTTAATAATGAAAATAAGCAATCATAGTTACTGAAAAAGTCACATTCGTTAGTTTACCTAAGTGACTATTGTTAGAATGTTAGGCTATAGCATTTTTCAGATAAACAAGCTTGCACGTCATTCAAGGTTTACGTCTTTAGAACTCCACAGCGTTGGCATAACATCAGAATAGTTAGTAAGTGAGGAATTTTTTAAAAGTCAACTATTTGTCAAACTATTATATTAACAGTAAATACCCTTAGTTTTAAGACTACTGCAACACATTAAAATACATAAGAAACCATTTTAATACAAAATTATATATTCTAAATTTTAAACTTACCTCTTTTAGGGTTTAAATAACAAAAACGTCCCGCCATTATTTCTTGTTCAAAATAATCTATCTTATATGAAAGCTTATCAGCTTTCTACAGACTTTTATTTGTTTTGGCATATCACAATCACAATACACAACAATAATTAGTATTTAAAGCTATTAATCTAAATTTAAAATGCATTTATAAACACAATTTATTAATATATATTACATTATGATCAAATTGTGTAAGACGTCAAAACATAAACAAAATTTCTACTTTAAAACAGCGGCAACACTTAATACACTTTTACCATCCGCTGAACTGTCAATATTATTTGATATATTTCCATATCAGTTGCGTACAATTGTCTAATATATTTAACTAAAAATATTATTTTGTGGAATATTAGACTTTAAGAGTTATTTCATAAAATTTATATTATTAATAATAATAAATGTTTTTGGTTATTTAATCAATATAATTCTAAATTTCCAATATAATGATTATTATATTTTTCTGATTATTACACCATGTTGACGCCTATGAAAGATTGAGCAGTTCCGTATGTGTTTCGTATTATTAGCTGTGTTAGGAAAATTTGAACTATAAGTTTGATGTTCTGGAAATTTTAAATACAAGTGACATCACTTTGTATAAATCGTGACGTGCAAGTGTTTTACTTTGAAAAATGGTATATAAAAAAGAGCGAATCTGAATTTGTGTTAAAGGAGAATGTATTTATGTATCCATCTACTGATTGGTTTTCTCATAAGGTGGGTGAACAAAATGGAGAACTTTAAGATTGAACAAAATTTAATGAAAGAAACTATTTAAAAATTAGAAGATAATTGGTTTAGTTGTTACAATTCGCTCTCAGATTCTTCAGAGGCATCTGGCTCTGGAAGGGCATCTCATACACCGTCATCAGAGGGTACATTTATGTAGAAATCATGGTTACGTGGTATTTGAAGATCCTTACAAAGGTTTTGAAGATCTTTTAGTTTTTTTGGTAGCAATTGGGAACCCTTTTCTTATAAAAGACTGGTTAATTTCAGCCCTTAATGTTATTAATTAACGTAACGGTGATTAAAAAAAGCAGTTATCTTGACTCCTAAGGGTCTTTGGACCTCTTTTTTGTCTAAACGTTGTGTTTGTAACCAGCTTTCCAAATATTTTTTTGTCATATAATTTGAACTAAATTCTACGGAGTTATTGTAAATGTTTATAAGCTTAAAAAGTGCTATTTATTAATAAATCATTTTGTGTACATAAATGTAATTTTTTAAAAACTTTTTTCCATAGTATACGTCTTAACAAAGAAAATAAGCCCATGATTATTGAATCCCTTCAGTCAAATTATCTGGACCAATTTTAGAAATTAGATTATTTTTCAAAAAATCTTATAAACAAATTAAATTTACGCAAAAAACTATTCAACCGACGTGACTCATCTTTTGCACGCAATTCAAACACGATAAGACTACGACCAAGTTTAAGTACTACACTCGTTATGTATCTTATTTTTTTGACGTTGTCTGTTGACGTCAAATCTCTAAATAGACAAATTTTTAAGTTGTAAGCAAAATGATGAGGTTAAAGTTATGACGTTATTTAAAAATATTTCCACTTAATGAATGATGAGAGTGTTTTTGTAATATCCCGTACTTTACATTTCAACTGTCAAACCTATCTATACACTTAAAGGCTAATTTTTTACTTGATTGGTAGCCGAAAATTAACAACTCGGTGAGGGATTCACGAACAGTAACTCAAATAAATCAAAGTATCCAGAGATGATACAGCGAAAAAATGACATGATTTTTCGCTTGTGAAAAATTGAAGTCGCCATAATCACAGTTAGTTATGTTTTGTATGTGTGGAGTAACGTTTTGTATAAGTCCATCCCAATTTATCACTACTAGTTCAGAAATTTATCACAATTTTTGAAAAACAAGTGACAAAATCAGAACAGCATGCAGGGTAGAAGATATAGGCAAGTGGATACTGAAAAGAAAGAGAGAATAGAACGATCATATAGACAGGACGACTGACGATAGAGTAGTCAAGATAGCAAGAGAAAGAAACATAAGAATTTTGAAGTATGGTAAATAAAGCTAAAAATTTTTTCTCTTTGGTTAAAGGACTCATGTTTTTCCGAAACCTACAGGTGGCTTGTAAGGCGTTTTGTGCAATGGAATTTTAGCCTTGGATGATTTTAGGTGTGAAACTCCTGTTTCGGGAGTTCATTCTCTGGGTTATCATTGGGATATATAACGGATTTCGCCTGAGAGACAAAGTCGTAACTTTTGTTGTTTTCTATATATAACGAAACCGTTCTCCAACAGAATGGGTTGTTTAGATGTCCCTTTGGGTATTGGGGATTGCTGTGCCAACGCGTTGTGTTCATTGACGTGTTAAGGCGGATAGTACCGAGTTGGATTTCTGATGAGAAGCAGCCCTCCTGCTTCTTTATATTGTCTGGATGCCTATAAAGGTACCGAAACGTTGAGATGAACCCACATACGTATCGTCCAAAAACACACGGTTTAAATTTGAAAGATGATTAGTGAATTCTGACTCTGGACATGAAAGCCTCCGATTTAATTTTATCACGTGACAGCTTATATCGATTAAACAATATAAGACCAAATAGAAACATTCTTGAATATGATTTTAAAATTAAACATTAAACATCTAGCTAAAATTAACTTCAAAAGAACAAAATGTATGACTTATACTAATTACTAATATATCCGCAAAAACTTATTTAAATGCCGACATAGGATCAGATCACAACCCAGTAGTGATCAAAATTAGAATCAAAATGAAAATAATAAAACGAAGAACAACAAATGCAAAAACTCACAACAATAGAACAAGAAAACCGGGAATACTGAAAGATGCAAATGGGAAACTTGTGTTGAATACTAACGACAAATTAAAGAGATGGACAGAATACATCAATGAACTGTTCAAAGACAATAGAACAGAGCAGATGGAAATAGAAGTAGAATAGGATATGGTTTAAAGATATTAAAAGAGGAAATTAAAATGTCATTAAAAACAGCAAAAATGGTAAAGCAGTAGGTCCAGATCAAATCCCTATAGAAATCTTAAAATGCATAAATGATGAAACCTTAGACATTACAGTAGAATTATTTAACTCAGTATACAAAACAGGACACATACCGAAACAATGGTTACTCTCCACCTTTTGTGCTATCCCTAAAAATACAAACGCTAAATATTACAGTGAATACAGAACAATATCACTAATATGTCACATTCTCAAATTATTCTTGAAAATAATACATGGTCGTATTAATAAAAAACTGAAAGAAGGAGTAGATGATAGTCAGTTTGGGTTCAGAAACGGACTAGGAACCAGAGAAGCATTATTTGCTTTTAATGTGTTAGCTCAAAGATGCATGGATATGAATGTTGATGTTTGATGTTTGTTACGATAATTTTGAAAAAGCATTTGACAAAGTAAGACATGAAAAATTAGTCCAAATTCTAAAGACAAAAAACATAGAACATAGGGACTTACGAATAATAACAAACCTCCACTGGAATCAAAGAGCACAAATCGTAATAGATAACAAACAAAGTCCAGAAATTAAAATCAGGAGGGGAAGTTAGGCAGAGATGTATTATGTCCCCGTTACTATTTAATGTATTATAGTGAAGCCATTTTTGAAGAAGCATTACTATCTCAAAGTGAAGGAATAATAATTTACGGAAGATCTATTAACAACATAAGATATACAGATGATACCGTATTAGGGCAAGCTCTGCAGAACAACTCCAATTACTGATAAACAAAACAAACAGTTTCTGTGAAAAACATGGACTAAAAATGAATATAAAAAAGACCAAATACATGATAATAACAAAGAAAACAAATATACCAACAAACATACATTTGGGAAATGTACCGATAGAAAGCGTCGATAAATACAAATACCTAGGAACCTGGATTTCAGACAATAATGATCAAACAACCGAAATAAGAGCCAGGATAGAAATAGCAAGAAATGAGTTTGTAAAAATGAAAACAATTCTCTGCAACAAAGACCTTAGATTAGAACTGAGAGTAAGAGCACTGAGATGTTACGTATTTTCGATACTGCAATATGGACTTGAAAGCTGGACATTAAAGCAAGAACACATAAATAAGTTACAATCCTTTGAAATGTGGTGTTACAGGAGCTACGCTTAGAATAGCATGGATGAAGAAGAAAACTAACACGGAAGTATTGCGAGAAATGGACAAAGAATGCGAAATAATAAACACAATAAAAATAAGAAAGTTACAATATCAGGGACACGTAATGAGGGGACAACGTTATGAACTGCTAAGGCTGATAATACAAGGAAAGATAAGAGAAGTAAGGAGTATAGGAAGAAGGAGAGTGTCATGGTTGAAAAATTTAAGGGACTGGTTTAAATGTAGCTCTATAGAACTCTTCAGAGCAGCAGTAGATAGAGTAAAGATAGTTATGATCATATTCAACCTCCGATTGGGAGACGGCACTTAAAGAAAAATATACTAATAACACTAAAGAAATCAAGTTAATATTAATAATAATAAACTAGAGACAGATATCTACCTTTTATACTTCTTTTGTTGTTTTGGTCCCCCTTCAACAACCACCACGCAACAATCTGGATACATAACAACACATCCTGTCATAAAAAGCTGCTTTGCATTCGTTTCTACTTTAAATTTCTTTGATGCTAGTCCTTGTAAATCACGAATTCTGTAGACTGATACATTTACACCTGAAATATTAAAAACTAAGTATTTTTGTGTAATGTAAAGTGTGTTAGAATTATATACCAGTTAAAAGAAAAAGGAATAAAATGTCGAAAATTATTAATTATTCAGGATGCTTCGCTAATGCAATGATAATACAACGCATTGTGTATCTCCCATACAGCAGAGTTAGTGGCTTTGTCGCCCTTCTACTGATTAATTTTACTATTTTCAAAATACATACAGATGAACGTTAACACAAGTATTAGACCAAGGCGAGTGGGTCTAGAACAATTGCCCGAAAACAGTTTCCCGAAAGACAAATCCCCGAAAGCAATTCCCCGAATGGACAATTCCCGTAAACACGAATGGACCGAATGGACAATTGCCCGAATAGACAATTGGCAGAAAAGCAATTGCACGAAAAGAGAATTGACTGAAAAATATATTTAAATAGTTATTACTGCTTAGATTGTGTTCGATCTAGCTATCTCATTAATTAATTTATTATTATAATATATATTTAATCTTTATATGTATTTCCTATATACTAATACGAAAAATTATGTGCTATTCCCCGCAAAAATTGAGGGCTATAATCCCTTGCTAATGGCATTTTAATGTTTTCTTTAATAAAGTGATTAAACTGCTAACGAGCTTTCTAAATATTCTATTATTTGTTTCCTGTTCTTTTTGACAATAATATCTTAAAATAAATTCAATTTTACCTGATTACCTGAAGATGAGAACTCCCACTCTTAAATTCTATATTTATAATTCTGTAATTGTAACTTTGTAAGATGGCAAGGACGTTAAACCTTTTTTCCTTGATGTGTGTCTAATGGAAAACTATTCATTTTGTTTTAGTTTATTGGAAATATTTACAAGTTTATCGGGAATATACCCTTTCATTAGGAATATTTAAAGCAATTCAATATACCAATCAGCAATATCTACATTTTACTGGAATTGTTGACCACATAGGACCACGTGTAACTGCAGTTCTCCAACCAACAACATTCCATTGGAGAACCTAGCAGCTAGGACACACAAGTAGCCATCGAACAAAGCAATAAGTATTGCATTAATTGTTAAGCTTTGGCAGGGTCTATTATTGTGCTTTTTTTTAATAAATATGTTTGGTTAAAATTTGTTTTATTTGCTATCAACTGAGAACTCAGGTTCAATCCCTATTTTAAGACAAGACGAACTCACCCTTGAGATACTGAGCTAGGCAAGGTATAAACGATAAGCTCCCACGGCTGATTGAAGTATTATTTTCACAATATTACTTCAATTCTCTTTGGTAGTCTTATCGTTACAAAGTACTACTTCTTCTTACGGTGCCTATCCGTTCCGGATGTTGGCGATCAACATGGCTATCCTAACTTTGCTTGCTGCTAATCTGAACAGTCCGGTTGTCGATGTATTAAACCACTTTCTCAGATTTTGAAGCCAAGTTTATAAGTACACCCCATTAAAAGAGATTACAATCTATGCCATTAGTCTTAATACTAATCAAAACAACTAAATTTCATATAAATACTTGAACGAAAGTTTTCTATTGCGTTATCGTCAAAACTCTGAGCTAGGGTCACGACGCAAAATGGCTTTGAAGTGTGTACTTAGTGAAAAGGGTAAGAGTAAATTAGATGAGTAAATCTTATAAGATGCAATAGTAAAAAGAAATGAGGCACACAACCATATACCGGAAGCAAGGCAAGTGGAAAAAACAAAATGTTTCAATAAAATACGTGAAAACGCTACACAAACTCAAGATGGGCCACATCATATAATATCCACTACATCCGTTCAGCTTAGTCAAGATACAGCTGCTACGTTTCCAAAAATGAGAAGTATTAAAAGAACAATAAGGCGTAGAGGAAGTAATCAGCAAACCGCTCCGGCTTTACCTCTTCACAGAAGAGACATCGTTTTTCCAGAAGGGTATAAACTAACACAAAATGGAGAACAATTTTTACTATTTGATTCAGGCCCACACGATGATCGGTTGTTAATTTTTTCAACAAGACAAAATCTGCTTCTTCTGGTAAGGTCACAACACTGGTTTGCCGACGGAACTTTCAAAACTGTACCTCACCTTTTTTATTAACTATATACAATCTACGGATTAGAAAAGAATACTGCGATTCCTTTAGTGTACGCACTACTACCTAACAAGACATGGACAAAGTTCGTGCACCCTCCAATTATAAAATTGGTTGGACCTTGGTCTTCCTAACCTTTCGGCATACGACGAAAGCGTTACCACTGCCCCTACGAGTCCGACACCAACTAAGGTGGCACGATGCCGAAACATCGTGAGGCTCCACCTTATCCGTAGTATCTGTGTTCCGAGTACGTCACCCGTCCGGAGATCCCCCCCGAGGGCGGAAAGATAACGCAGGCGGAGGAATTCCACCTCGCACGTAGACAGGTCACCGCCGAGGATCACTCTTCTACCACTCTTAAATCATTCCAGGTAGGTACGTGCCGGGACACCGACACCACCCTCGGTGATGTAAAGCCGTGGGAGATATTTACGGGCCCAGCTCGTTCAACCTCACCTGGTTCTTGTGGAATGAGAGTAGAGTGGTCCCACGAGATGCTCGTCTCGGATACTAGGAGTGTAGACCGGTGATCGAGATGACTATGCATCTCGAGTGCGTTTCTACAGACCCGACACCTCAAACGACGGCTCTCCTCCTCTCATTACCTACCCATAAGTCGCCTCTTACGACAGGCAGGGTCTTCTGGCCTCGGCCGTATTCTTATCTCCGCGAGAAAAATGGAGTATCTAACAAGACAGAAGAAACTTATGTTCGGCTACTTTCAAAATTAAAAGAACTTTTGAATGGAGCTTCTCCTGTAACCATATTAACAGATTTTAAAGGCGATATGATAAGTGCTATAAGACAAGTATATCCCGACTCAAGACATCGTGGGTGCTTTTTCCATTTCACTCAATGTCTCTTTAGAAGGATCTAGTCAGACGGTTTAAAAAGAAGATATGAAACTGATTCAGATTTTGCTTTAAAGCTCCGATTATTGACGGTTTTAGCATTCGTTACTACTGCACACGTAGTGGAGGTATTTGAAACGATTTGCGAACAAGATGTGTTGCGAGCAGAAGCCCAGTCAGTAATTGATAATTTTGAAGATACCTGGATCGAGCGTCCACAAAGAGGTAGACAAGGTAGTTTGCCCTTTTTTCACATGATCTGTGAAATTGTTATGATGGGATCCAAGAAAGTTTACCAAAAACAAATAATTTCATAGAGGAATGGCATCGAGGGTTTGAACAACATATTTCAGCAGATCATCCAAACATTTACAGATTTATTAAAGGCATTCAGATGGAGCAGAACTTACATGAACTTTAAATTTAACAGTATATAGGATACTTGGAAGGCTCTCCTACACGTAAAAAATACAGAGATTGCGCAGAGCGGATTGCAAGTATGGTAAAAATTAAAACAAACTGTAAAAACAATTCAAAAAAATCAAAAATCTCAAAAAAATGACAAATTGGATGTTTATTCCAAGTTCCAAGTACACGCCAGCGGTACGCTGCCAGTCCTAAGCCTGAGTAAAGTGTGAAGGGAACATGGAATAAAAAATATATATTATAATAATAAATTAATTAACGAGATAGCTAGGTAAAACACAATCTAAGTAGTAATAACTATTTAAATAGCACGTAAGTTACCGTATTAGTATATAGGAAATACATATAAAGCAATAACTATTTAAATATATTTTTCGATCAATTGTTTATCTGCCAATTGCCTATTCAGGTAATTGACCATTCGGGTAATTGCTTTCGGGGAATTGTCTTTCGGGAAACCGTTTTTCAGGCATTTGTCCGAGACCCAAGGCGGATCTGTGAAAAAACGTCAACATTTGGATGTGAGATGTGGCATTCAAATATTTGTAGAAATAGTTGTGTGATAACTTCAGTAATAATAACTGACTTATCTTCCCTCTCAAATAGGTCGGGAATATTAATAAAAAAAATTTTAATTAACTAAAAACCTAGTTTTAACTGGGTTTAACTAAGACTGGTTAAAAATGTTTTAATTTATTACCCTTTCCTATTGAATGATTTTGAAACACTTAGATTGCACTTCACAATACACTTCTTTATTTATTTATTTTTTAAGCCCCTTTCTCTATTCGGATTGCCGAATATAGGCCTCTCCTAATTATCGCCATTCATCTCTGTTGTTTGTAAGACGTTTCTACATTGGCCCTGCAGTTCTTTTAATATCGTCGCTCCATCGCATTTGCGTTTTCCTCGTGTTTTTTTACGAGCCTTTTTACCATTTACGAACAAGCTTGAAGCTTGTTCGTAAATATTATGTATTAATATTCTGTACCTGGAGTCGATCCGGTTGTTGACTAATGCTTCTTTTATTGTCCACAATTCTACGCTACAAAAGCTCTTTCATAATCTTCAAAAAATCTTTATAATATAATTAATAAAATTAATTTTGCAATCTAATTTTCTTTTTAAATGAAATACTTTCAAATCTTGCACAAGAAAAACAAACAAAATTTTGGCCAATTTTTTACATATAAAAAGCACTCCACCTATCTAACGAACTTTATATGTAGTATTAAAATTGTATTATTTGGACGGCCACAGGTATGTTTTAAAATTATAAACAAGCTTTTAGCTTAAAAACAAATATCTCGGTAACTTCTTCTTCTGCTTGTAGTGCCGTCTCCACTAATGAAGGTTGGCTATAACCATTGCAAATTCGTCTTTATCGTCTGCTTTTCTTAAGAGCGTCCGTATGTTTAACCCGGTCCAGTCGCGAATGTTTTTCAGCCAGGATATTTGTCGCCTATCAGGACCCCTTTTTCCTTCCATTTTACCCTTTATAATAAGCTGTAACAATTCGTACTTATCATTTGTAAGTCTTCTTCTTTACATGCCATCTCCTCTAAGAAGGCTGGCAACCATCATGGCAATTCGCACCTTCGACGCCGCTGCTGTAAAGAGGTCAGCAGAAGTGCAGTTAAACCAAGCTCTCAAATTATTTAACCAGGAGATGTGTCTTCTTCCACGACTCCTTCTACTCTGTATTCTTCCTTGCATTATTAATTGCAACAAGTTATAACGCTCGCCCCTCATAACATGTCCCAGATACAGTATAATTCCTCTTAACCGGCTTTGCATTAACCGGTCGACGGATTAACCGGCCTGTTTACAACAGCCGAATTCCAAGAAATCAACCGGCGCGGCGAGGCGATTCGGCTTCCCCGAACGCCCCGAGGCGAGGCGAGGCGATAAACAGATAAACTGTGTACTTGTCGTTTTGGTATTTTTTGATCAGTTTGTTTTGTTTCTGCTGTTGGTACGCACGTACATAACATACTTTCCCAATGAGTGCGAAGCGTAAACGAATTGTGGTTTCGATGGAGACACGTTTAAAAGTGCTAAAGCGGATTGATAATGGTGAATCCGTGGCGAAAATATGTACAGAATTTAATGTTGGAAAAAGCACTGTAAATGACTGGCGAAGAGATAGACGGTCCATTGAGGAGTTTTGCTCGAAAATGGAATCTGATAAAAATCTGGGTAGCCGTTGTACGAGAAAAAAACCGATTTGCGAGGTCGTCGATGAAGCTTTGTGGATCTGGTTTCTTCAGGAACGTCGAAGAGGTACACCGATTGGCGGCCCAATTTTGAAAGAAAAAGCTTTGGCTATCCACCAGAAGATTAATAATGAAAGCGAATTTGTGGCAAGTGATGGTTGGCTTAATCGATGGAAGAAGCGACACGGAATTCATTTCGCACACGTAAGTGGAGAAAAACTGTCTGCTGATTCTTCTGGTGCGACAGAATTCAAGATTAAGTTTGGTGAAATCATTGAAACAGAAAAATTATCTCCAGAACAAGTTTATTATGGACGAGACTGGGCTAAACATTAAAATGTTACCAGAAACAACTTTTCTAGGCAGTCATGAACAGTCTGCTTCTGGCTTTAAAAAGAACAAAGAACGTATTACAGTGGCCGTTTGTTCGAATGCAACAGGGACTCACAAAATTCCTCTGTTCGTTATTGGCAAGTCTGCTAAACCACGGGCATTCAAAAACTTAAATCCATCTTCCCTTCCGGTCTATTATAAGTCACAAAAATCAGCGTGGATGAATTCAGACTTGTTTAATTTAGAGTTTGTTCCAAAAGTTAAAAAACATTTAAAAAGTGAAAACCTGCCTATCAAAGCAGTTCTAGTGGTAGACAATGCTCCAACCCATCCTCATGACTGCGATGTAGATGACATAAAATTAGTTTTTCTTCATCCTAATGTGACAAGCTTAGTGCAACCGATGGACCAAGGAGTGATCGAAAGCTTAAAGAGACGATACAGGCGTAAACTTGTTTCTGAAATTCTGCAACATTCGGAGAGTGAAGACAAAGGTCTTTTAGAAGTCATCAAAAATATCAATATCAAGGACGTTATCTATATGTTAGCTACAGCATTTCAAGAAATGCCCTCTTCAACGTTTGTTAAATCTTGGAGAAAACTTTGGCCAGATGTTGAGAATCTAGTTGTGATCTCGAATATTGCAGGGACTGAAGAAGAAGAAAACAAATCCACTCTACAAGACCTTCAAAAGTTATCGGGTAACGAAGCATTACAGTCAGAAGATGTGGAAAATTGGATGATAAACTGTGATGATCAGCTTGAAAATGAATTTTTGAATGATGACGAAATCATAGATGTAGCAACCAAAGAACCAGAGGAATATGATGAGAATAGTGATGTTGAAGAAGAGGAAACAGTTTCTCACGAAGAAACTCTATCTACCCAACTTATTCTTAATATCCTTCTGTAAGCCCATAACTCGAAGGCTTCCAATTTGTCTGAAACATATTAGTCCAAGTCTCCAACCCATAAAATAATACGGAGAACACGTAGCATATCAGAAGTCTTATCTTTAAAGAAATTGACATGTCCCTGCTGCAGAGTACTTTTTTCAGTTTGTTGAAAGAATTTCTTGCCTGTCCCATTCTTGCCTTAATCTCTTCTGTGTACTCATTATTTTCATTAATTATTGTACCCAGATATTTATATTTTTCAACTTTTTTAATTTGTTCTCCATGTAGTGTTATGCTTTCTTGGCGCTCTTGGACTTTTGAAATTACCATAAATTATGTCTTTTTTGTGTTTAGGGACGGTCCGTTTTCTTCACTGACTTCTACCACTCTATCAACCATTTGTAAATATGTGCCCCAAATATGCTGTCTTTCGCCTTTTAATGGTGGTCAAAAGTTCTGTCTCTTCCCATTCTGTGCAACACCATTTCGTTCGTAATATGATCGGTCCATGGTATCTTCAAAATTTTAGTAAAAAGGCACATCTCAATAGCTTCCAGTTTTTTCATTAACTCAACATTGACAGGTTTCGACGCCATAAAGAAGAATAGATAACATTTTACCATCCGATATCGGATTTGCAGATTACTCAGAAATTTTCTCATCTTCAAAAAGGCTGCTCGTGATTGCACTATTTTTGAGCGGATTTCTGATTTCCGATTCAGATCTTCCGTAATCCAGACTCCTAGGTATTTTATTTTATCCACTTGCTCAATATCTTCATTTTAAAACGGCTTTTGAAAAAGACCCGGCAAGACTCTTGTTTTAAAAGAAAAAAGTTAAATTGAAAGCAGTTGTTCCTGAGATAAAATCTGTCAAAGTTGACTAGCATTTACAACGACGTTATAAACAATAGTTGAACCATTACCATTTTCTTTCGGAGCTTCTTTTTTCGATTCATAATATATGTTATGAATATCTTAAAGATACGAAAATTTTTATCGAGAAAGAGCTCTAAGAGAAAAAGGTAATGGTTCAAAGGTTACCGTCCTATTGTTTATAACTTCGTCGCAAATGCTGTGACCAGTTGTATCTCAGAAACCACTGCTGATAATTCAACTTTTTTCTTTTAAAAGAAGCGTCTTGCCAAGTCTTTTCCAATGCCGTTTTAATTTAAGTTAATAATAATTACCGAGATATTCTATTTGTTTATAAGCCTAAAAATTCAAATTTTTAAAACATTCTTGAAGCCGTCCAAATAAACCGATTTCAGTTATATAAAGTACCCGTAAACTAATTTTCGAAACCAAATTCAGATTTTTGCTTTAATCTGTGCCTTCTAAGAATTGCAGGGCAAAACAGACGTTGATAAAGATGTTAATAGAGACATGGGGAATCTAAAATTTGCATTCCACGACATATTTCCTCAACTAAGCAAAAATCATTAGCGAATTGGTTTCTTGTACTCATACAGAGTATATCCGAATAAAAAGAAAAAGACAGTAAAGATTTGATTTCACGTACAATACGTCTGTGTATCTGCTTATACGTATTTCGCCCTATTCACAGGCGTTCTGAACGTGAAAATAAATCTTTTCTGTCTTAAGAAGCAACTCTAACATGGCTTCGTATAGACGCAAATAGCGACATCTGATATTAGAATCCGTAAACTAATTTTCGAAACTAAATTCAGATTTTTGCTTTAATCTTAATACATGAAAATTGTTATTAAATCACTTTATATAGTACTCTAATATAAAAATAAATCTCTTAAAGTGTTCTGCTTACCTAGAGATGTATCTTCCTTGATTTTCTTAATTTTTTTATCGCGTTTCTGATCACTCGTCAATTTCCTAGCAGCATTGGCATCTTCGTGAGCCTTCTGCCGTTTCGCCATCTGCTCTCTAACGTGTGCTTCGATTTTGGTAGGATCCTGTACTGCTTCTGTACCCAAAGCTCTCATCAGATTTGATATACGTAGCTTAGGCTCCGGAGGAGGTTCCAGACCTAACCGAATCTTCTCTTGCTCTTCTTTCCACATCTCCCTTCGGTTTTGACGACGAAGCTTTTTTCTTTCTTTTTTCGTAAGGAACACGGGCATATATACAGGTTTTATTGGATCAGCTAGAAAAAGTAAATAAAAACTGGTTATAGATAAATATAGTACTCTTACAACAATAATTTGACATCCCCATGTGCTCAAGTACATGACTGAAGTGATGAATGTTTTGATTATGGACAAGAGAGATATGGTTAAGAAATAAAAGAACTAAGAAAGGGGGATGCGGTATTGAAATAAGAATTAACTGGTTTAAGCAATAAGTTAGAGAAATAAGAGAATTAAAGAATGAAGAATAATCTGGTAATAAATGACTGTTACATTTTCTCTGTTTTGCTGTATGGCTGTGAAAGTTGGACAATTGACTCTGAAATAGCAAAAAGAATAGATGGCTTTAAAATGTATATTATATAAAAAGTTACGAATGGTGAGGTACTTTGGCACATGTGCCAACAAAAAGAATTACTCAGCATAATCAAAGAAAGAAAAATACAATACTTGGGTCATGTGTTGAGATGTGAAAGATATGAATTATTTCAAATCATTGAAAGGTAAAGTTCAGGGCAAAAGATCAGTTGAAAGACAACCAAACTCGTGGCTGAAAGACCTGAGGAGATGGTTTGACCGCTCATCCACAGAAAACTATCGTACAGCAGTTTCCAAAGCTACAATTGCCATTTGGATTACCAACCTGTGAAAGGAGATGGCGCAATAAGAAGAAGAAATGACTTTAAACTTGACTTGGATAATAAAATGATACTAAACCAATACAAATTGAAAATAGAGGAAAAAATTAAAGAGATAGGGAAAATCTGGCCATTAAAAGGAATTATAGAAATATAAACCTTTAAAGAAAAACTAACAATCCTAAAAAATAAATACTGTTACGACACTCGACCCTAACCTAACCCTACCTAACGGTAAGCTACCTGCTTTCTAGAACATACGAGTAAAGAGGTCCCTCCGCCAAACCTGTCTGACTTCCACAGCATTCGAGAAGGTCATGAATGTTCACCAAAGAGCTTCCCAAAACAAGCAGATAGACGGGCCAATTATAATAATGTTCTTATTCCTTCTTGTATGTAGGCTTTAAAGCTTGTTTCTTTTTCAATATTAGCCTCCTATATTCTTTAAATTATCGCAACATATTTTTCTTGGTCTGCCAAAACTTCTTCGTCCATTTGGTGACTTATCTCGTGATATTCGTACTATCCTATCCTCTACTATTGTACTAATGTGTTCGTTCCACTCTTCTTTCCATTTTGTCACCCATCCATCAAAAAAAGCTCTAGAAAAACGCAAAGTCTTACTGAACAAAAGAAACAATAACAATACAACAAGGTTCAAAAAAGAAATAAAAGAGAAATGTAGAGAGGCCTACACGAAGTACAAATGTCAAATACTCCAGAATCCCGAGACACCTATAGAAAAAATACGAAATGAAACAAAACAGTTGGCAAGAAGAACAAAAAATGTACACTGGGAACAGTTTACAAAAAGGATGGAAAGCGACTTCTACGGTACCCAAAAACAAATATGGAGATTCATAAGAAACCAACGGAAAGAAATGACAGAATTGAAGGAATACAATAACACACCAGCAATCGAATGGGAAACTGACGGAACTGTTAAGAAAATAATAATCAACACAATAACATACCTGAATTAAGACACGAAATAGAAATCAGTTTTCAGGAAGTATAAATGGTCAGAAATTCACTCAAAAATAGAAAGTCACCAGGACCACACGGAATAACCAACGAGCTTCTAAAACACGGAGGAGAAAGTATAACTCTAGAGATAATACTGTTAATAATGTAAAATAAAGCAGAGTAAATAAAGACTAAATAAACTACGTATTCGAACATTTTAATATTAAATTAAACCATAATAAATTCACTGGGTTAGATAAACATACACATACTATAGAAATAAAATGACCTTTAGGGCACTAAAGGGTTTAGGAAGAGATATCATAGGGCACTATGGATAATATATTTACTATATGACAAATTTTGATTTATTGACTAAAAGAAGGCCTCTGGCTGTATATACAAAATAAAAAACTGATCGGATCCTAACATGTGACATATCAAATGAAAGGGTCGGATATAACGAATATGATTAGATAGAAAAAACAAACAAAGCAACTACTAAAAGGGAACCACACAGGATCTTCATCATTAATGAACATATAGAGACATACAAGATATCATAGGACACTATTTAATGACTGACTGCAGATTACAATTGATTTTATCCCCCGTGACATGCGATGGGCAATGTTACCAATAGTATATAAAAAAATAATTTTTTTGTGACAAAAGTGTATACCTACTCTTAGATATTTTCTATGAAAACTGCAAGGGGTAAGTATAGCGAATAATAATACAGATCGATAGTGAGCAACGTATTCTTTTAAAATAATGAATCACGTACAGGGTGTCCCATTTGAAAAAAAAAAAAAAATAATTGAGCGAAAATTTAGGATGCCAGTTTTATGTCAAGTTTGACAGCACCATGTATAATGAAAAAGGTAACTTTACACGGTACACGATTAAGCAGTATGTAATTAATAAGTTCCGAAAAAATTTAAACTTTTTTTCAAATTACATTGGAGGATATTGAACTGTATATACGTGATGAAATCGTAGGCTTCCACGGCCAGAGTCAGAAATATAGTATATTCGTCTTCCGGGTTTGGACCGTGTCATTTGTGAGTGACCCAAAAGTGGGTTCATCTCGACGTTTCGCTACAATTGTATGTAGCTTCTTCAGGAGAACAAAGAAAAAGAAATCAAAAGACAGGAAGATGGGTAGTTAGCAACGGTAACTCAGTTACTCAACGCAACCAGAGGCGAATACTAACTACCAAGATGGGCATTTGGTCACAGTAACTCAACTACTTAACGCAGCCAGAGGTGAAAACCAAATGCCAGGACAGGGATTCACGTCCAACAGCTCAGAACACTAACGCGTTGAGAGGCGGAGAGTGAATCCGACGATTACTCCGCTACCGCTCTATTTATAGTCGCGGTGACCTGTCGTGTCGGGACGTATCGGCACACTCCGTGGCGCGAACATCAAGAAGCGCGCGATGGCCAATCATGTGGCTGCATCGTGGTAGCGGGACCGGACGGCGGCTCTAGACTGAGATTCCAGATGGGAGACAAGTAGTATCCTTCCTCTCGATTGATATTATGTGGATTTTTTCGGATCTCTAGAGATTCGCGGATTTTCCTGGAATAAAAGAAGGGGCTCTTAGAAATAATATGGGTTTTTTCGAACAATATGGAATGACCGGTTTCTTGGCAGTGTTCTGCAACTGCAGAATGGGAGAAAAGACCTGATCGAATGCATCTTTGATGCTCTTGAATCCGAGTTTTGACGGAACGACCAGTTTCGCCAATATACACATGTCCACATGAACAAGGAATAGAATAGACACCACAGGAAGATAGGGGCGGTAATGGGTCCTTAGGAGAGGGTAGATATTGTGAGATTTTCTTGGGTGGTCGAAAAGTAGTCCTGATACCTTCTTTGCGAAGAATTTTGCCAATCCTATCAGTGACACATCGAATATACGGAAGAAAAGCCACAGGAGTATTACCCGAAGATTCTGAATTTGTCGTCCTAGGGTGTAAAGGGGGATGTAGATGTCGGTGTGTAATATTTTGAATTGTGGACTTGGAGTAACCGTACCGACTATAACCGACTTGGAGGTAAAAGAGATGTAGGAAGAAGACGAACCTCCTGGCTACGAAATCTAAGGGAATGGTTTAGTCTGAGCTCTAGCCAACTATTTAGAGCTGCTGTAAGTAAAATAAGAATTGCCATGTTGATATCCAACCTTCGTTAGAAGATAAAACCTTAAGAAGAAGAAGAAGTAACCGTTGGCGACAAGGGTTTTTTGCAGATGGCCAAGTTCTTCTCTAAGGTTGTCAGGTTCAGAAATCGAAATGGCCCGATGGATGACAGAGTTGATCACAGAATTCTTTTGGGCAGGATGGTGGTGTGATGAAGCATGTAGGTAACGATTCGTGTGAGTCTTTTTTCTATAAACAGAGTGACCCAATCGGCCATTGTCACAAGAAATAGTTTCAAATGTGGAAGCGGCACTCCGCACAATTCCCAAAATTCCAGCCGACCGTATCCGCTTTGACGTCGCTAAATGTCTTGATACAGCCAAAATCCCTACTTCCAATATAAAAAAAAAATTGTTAAAATCCTTTATAAAAGGTATATAAAATTGCCTCAAACGGGCTATCACAAACACATTGCAAAACGTTTTCGGATTAAACAATCCATCATCAGTGCAAACGGTTGTACATGCTAGTAGCCACCAAAACGCCACCGTTTGCACTGATGATGGATTGTTTAATCCGAAAACGTTTTGCAATGTGTTTGTGATAGCCCGTTTGAGGCAATTTTATATACCTTTTATAAAGGATTTTAACAATTTTTTTTGTGATATATGGTATACAGCCAGCTACAGGAACTTAGTTTCCTCGTGGAATTTTACTTCCAATATATCTCGTGAGGAATTCATAGCTCTCAAAAATCTCCGTTCTCTTTCTGAGATAATAATCCTTCCTGCAGACAAAGGTAATGCCACAGTCATCCTGGATACTCCTTCCTACATAGAGAAAGTAAACGACTTACTTAGGGATACATCCTGTTATAATACAATTTCTCGAGACCCCACTCCTAGAGTCGAACGCGAAATTTCCCATGCCATCAAACAATCCGATCTTTCCGATGACGTTAAGAAGTCCATAGTTCCGAAAAACTCCATCTGCCCCAGAATTTACGGTCTTCCCAAAATCCATAAAGACAACGTACCTCTTCGTCTCATTGTGACTACGATTAACTCTCCTACCTACAAACTCGCAAAGTACTTGTCGAATCAGTTTAAGACCTATACTGGTCGTACCTCTTCTTATGTCCGAAATTCCACACATTGCATCACCTTAATCTCCTCCCTCACGGTCGATCCCCAAGACATTCTCGTCAGTTTCGATGTATCATCCCTATTTACCAATATCCCGATACATGACTCTCTAGTTGTTCTGCGAGATCACTTGACCAATGATAACAAGTCTTTGGTTTTGGCAGATCTTGCGGAAAATGCCTCCTTTCAACATATTTTTCTTTTAGAGGCAATTTCTACAAACAAATATCTGGAACACCAATGGGTTCTCCCCTTTCCCCTGTCATTGCTGACATTTTCATGGAAGCCTTTGAGTCTTTAGCCCTAGAATCTTACCCCTTAAAACCAAAAGTCTGGTTCCGCTACGTTGAGGATACATTTATCATCTGGCCCCATGGTCAACATACCCTTTCTCCCTTCCTAGATCATCTTAACTCACAACATCCGAGTATAAAATTCACAATGGAAGTAGAAAATAATCGGTCCCTTCCCTTTCTCGATGTGTTAGTCACCTCCAAGCCCAATGGCTGATTGGGTCAATCTGTTTATAGAAAAGAATTCTGTGATCAAATCTCTCATCCATCGGGCCATTTCGATTTCTGAACCTGACAACCTTAGAGAAGAACTTGGCCATCTGCAAAAAACCCTTGTCGCCAACGGTTACTCCAAGTCCACAATTCAAAATATTACACACCGACATCTACATCCCCCTTTACACCCTAGGACGACAAATTCAGAATCTTCGGGTAATACTCCTGTGGCTTTTCTTCCGTATATTCGAAGTGTCACTGATAGGATTGGCAAAATTCTTCGCAAAGAAGGTATCAGGACTACTTTTCGACCACCCAAGAAAATCTCACAATATCTACCCTCTCCTAAGGACCCATTACCGCCCCTATCTTCCTGTGGTGTCTATTCTATTCCTTGTTCATGTGGACATGTGTATATTGGCGAAACTGGTCGTTCCGTCAAAACTCGGATTCAAGAGCATCAAAGATGCATTCGATCAGGTCTTTTCTCCCATTCTGCAGTTGCAGAACACTGCCAAGAAACCGGTCATTCCATATTGTTCGAAAAAACCCATATTATTTCTAAGAGCCCCTTCTTTTATTCCAGGAAAATCCGCGAATCTCTAGAGATCCGAAAAAATCCACATAATATCAATCGAGAGGAAGGATACTACTTGTCTCCCATCTGGAATCTCAGTCTAGAGCCGCCGTCCGGTCCCGCTACCACGATGCAGCCACATGATTGGCCATCGCGCGCTTCTTGATTTTCGCGCCACGGAGTGTGCCGATACGTCCCGACACGACAGGTCACCGCGACTATAAATAGAGCGGTAGCGGAGTAATCGTCGGATTCACTCCCCGCCTCTCAACGCGTTAGTGTTCTGAGCTGTTGGACGTGAATTCCTGTCCTGGCATTTGGTTTTCACCTCTGGCTGCGTTATGTAGTTGAGTTACTGTGACCAAATGCCCATCTTGGTAGTTAGTATTCGCCTCTGGTTGCGTTGAGTAACTGAGTTACCGTTACTAACTACCCATCTTCCTGTCTTTTGATTTCTCTTTCTTTGTTCTCCTGAAGAAGCTACATACAATTGTAGCGAAATGTCGAGATGAACCCACTTTTGGGTCACTCACAAATGACACGGTCCAAACCCGGACGACGAATAAACTATACTATAATGTATATACATGGTAGAAAAGTGTAATTTTCATATAAAAACCATTATAATTCAAAAACAGTTTACAATGAATATAGGGGAATATTAACACAAAATGTTCAGAATAACGTGAATATTTCTAAAATTAAAAAATATAAAGGGTGTCCCATTAAAAAAACGAAGTTATAAGCAACTTCCAGTATAACCGGAAGTAGCAAATAAATGAAAATATTTTCATTAACCAGTTCAATCTTTAAAACCCCTTGCTGTTCAAAAATATGTTAATTATTGGCTAAAAATAAACACCAACCAATTTTTCTAATAATAATGGAAAAAGAAAATATACAGCTACTTACTTGGACATCTCATTTGCGTAGGATGTTCAACCAAAGTATTAATAATAGAATCTTTAATGGCGATTTGATCACCGTCCATAGTATCCAAATTATCTATAAGTATAACTGAATCCCACCATTCCATTTGTGGAATTTCTTCGCTAATTCCTTCCGATTTTGCTATTAAAGCTAGTTTTGTAGCAGATGATATTCCAGTTTTTTTTGCTATTTGGGAGATTTCATTTTGAAGCTTTTCCAATTGTGCCTACAAAAATTAATAAAGGATTATAAGAAATGTATCTAGAATTTAATTATCTACAATGTCAAAATACAAAGTTAATAGCTTATTTTTAACAATTTATTTATTATTTTTAACAAAGGTATCATTCAACCTAAAACGTTTTATGGATATAAATCTCTAAGATTGGGACTAAATAAAAGTTAGGGCGAAATTGAAGAAAGAAATTGAAGAAGCACGATTTACATCTTCGAATATATTTGAATCCGTATTTTGAAAAAGGGCCACCTCCACTTTTTTAAATTTCACAGGAGAGGTAAAAAATTCTTATCTTCATTACTATTAAGAACTTAAATGTTTTTATGTATTTTTTGGATTTATGATTTACTATACAAACTGAGGAATATTATAAAAAGATATTTTTTAATTTTAAAAGACCCAGAAACCGATTTTTTTTGTAAAAGAGATGACTCATTTTCAAAATGAACAGGTAATAAAAGTAAAAATAAACAATATATGTAATATGCATATTGTTTATTGGAAACATTAAACGCTACAATAAATTAAAAAAAAAAACGTTTAAAATAAATAAAGATAGTTTAATTGTCTCCTTGTTCCGCTTCTTCCGCACTGGTAGTAGACCATTTTAGATCATGTTGTACAATGGCTTGAAATTATCTGAAATGTATTGTATAAGCCTTAAATTTTTTTAGTTTTATTGGAATTTTGAGGATCAGGTACAAACATAGGTGAACTGCCCATTTGTTGAGGTTTTAAAAGTTGAAAATGTTCTTCAAGAATGCCATCAATGTATGGTTTTGCTGTCGCCATACCCAAATTATCTGAGGAAAAGCTAAATTCATAATAAGAGTTAATAGTGAAACTAACCTTTTCGTTTTTTGGAACTTCTTTATGAAAGCTTCCTGTGAAACTTTTTTTTTTTAAATATGGCCACTATTTTTTAAAAACAGCTACATCTATGTAAGTAATAGTCTAATATCAAATGTATTATAACTAGATGAAGACACGATTAAATCTTCATATTCCTCTACAGAGAAAATCCTGTCATAGCGACAAATTTTTCTTTTAAGGGTACCGGAATCTCTTGTCACAATCATTAAATGAGTGGACTCGTGGAAAGTAAATAGTAATTATTTTTAACTTCTTGGTCATTACTAGGGCCAGAAGATATCGAACAACAGTATTATTGCGATTCTGACCTGGACATTGCAACAAAAGAGATGCAGTTCTTCAAAGTTTTCTGGAATTTTGTTGTTTATATTTAAAAAAGAGCAAACTTTATCAGGGCCTCTGTGACCTTCGCCTTCGTGGTGAGAGTAAAAGGTTGCTTTATTAGTTTTAAGATTGTATATTTTGATTCCTTACACCTCTTTTCCATTTTAAAGGAGAAGATTTACTTACACTACTATCACTACATGATATTGTATCACCCACAGTGTCTGTTTCCAAACAGGTCTATACAACTACTAAATAGATTACATCTAAACCCGTTATACTATGGGTAGACCGGATATAATAAACCATTATACTGTGGGTGGGTACAACTCGCTGTTCATTTTGAAAATGGGTTATCTCTAGATGACTTGTTTTCAAACTGAACTGGTTTGTGGGGTATGCTGTATTTACGGTAATAATAATGAAAGTTGAACCGTTTTATATGAATTAGATCTAGGTGTGTTAAATAAAATTCAACAGAAAGTGGAAATGTCAAAAAAGTGGAGATGACCCCTTTTCATAATGACTGATTCATTTATAAGTTGAAATAATTATTGTTCCAGTACTACCGGGGAACCGGTAGTACTGAAACAAAAGAAAATTAAAATAGTGGGAAAAGAGTATAACACATAAAACTATCTTGCAATCTGCGACAAAGGAACCAAGTGAAACGGTAAGTTAACGATTCGTGTTTATTGTTATTAGCGAAATTTTTGTTTTGTAGGTTATCTGTAAGAGTAAATTTCAAAACCCTACTGTTTGAGTCAAAATTAAGGCTTTTTTCTGAATTTTATGAAAAATCATCTGAAACTCAAGGTAAATACCTAAATATTGAAGATTATAGAAGCCTATTGAGCGATTTACTTAAAACATTTTAAAGGTCATACACAAAATAATATAATACAAAAAGCAAGGAACAACTAACAAGAACACAATTTAGGGTCGCTAATCCTCAGATATAGAATCTGAATACACTCCTAAGACCTGAGAATTAGCAGAAATTCTTACTGCAATTTACCAACCCAAATCAAAATAGAAGACCATGATATAAAATCTAAGTAGACTACAAAAACCTTAAAATTAGCAGAAATACTGACTATGAGGTTTGTCTTTGAGGTAATTACTATTGAGGTAGTTTTGCATATAGACGTTTAGAGGGCGCCACCAATAAAGCCTTTCAACACAAATGTAACCTCAATCTTTTGTTGACACAAATCGAGAGTTACATTGCGATACAAGTCGTGTAGATACAGTGAATTTTTGAAATTAGCAAGCCGGTCGAAAAATGGATCGTAGCCCAGAACATTTTTGAGCAATCATTTTTTACAATTTTCAGAACCAATTATCTTAACAGCAATGTCTCTCTGAAATGGTTTCTGTGCTTGGGAATAAAGCATCATACCAGTCAACTATATCACACTGGTATTGCGAATTTCAATGTGGTCACTCCAGTCTCAGGGACGAATCCAGGCCAGGTCTACCCAAAACAGTAGTCATACAGCAAAACATTAATGTGGTTCTTCAGCTAATTAAGGATGGCCTCCGTGTAACGTACCGGAAGATAAAGGCATCTTTGGGCATTTCACAGACCTCGATCCAAAGCATGTACTGGGTGTTACGAAGTTGGTTTCCCGTTGGATCCCTCATTTACTCACAGAAGAGCAAAAAGTTGCTTGCATCAATTGGTGTCAAAAAACATTGGAACCGTTCAACAAATGAAGCTCAAAAAACGTTTATAATATTGATAGTGACAATGAATGTTGGATTTATTCCTAAGAACCGGAAAATAAATGTCAATCCGTTGTGCAGATATTTCACGGTGAGGAAAAACCAACAAAAGTGATCCGTTCTCGAAGTGTGCCTAAGAAAATAATCGCAACTTTTGTATCAAAATCTGCTCACGTGACAACAATTGCCTTAGAAGATCCAAGAATGGTTAATTCTTATTGGTATATAACAGTTTGTTTATCAGAAGTTATCGCGAAACTCCTATAAAAAGCATTGTCTTAAATCAGGCAATGCAAGTGCTCACACTGCTCAGCGATTCTGCAGTTGTCAACTGAAGACTGGAATAACTGTTTTACCAATTGGTTTGAACATATGCAAAATGTATTAATGCATCTAGTAATAAGATATATTTGAAAAGCAATAAAGTACTTTACAATAAAGTCTATATATTTTTTGTGTTTATTGCTATATGCAAAACTAAAAAGGAACTCTCATACAATATTTCCTGGCTGTAAAATCAACAGAAATAGTATAAGACAACTACTACTGGGTTATTCTGCTGTGACAAATGAAGTAACATATTGATGATGAATGCCAATATCTGGATTAGATAGGCACTATAAGAAGATATATGTATATAAACACAGATTGAAACTTACCTTCATCCTTAATCTTTCAGCCAGTTGTTGAAATTTTCCAGGTTCATGAAACCTCAAAGCCCTTTTACTTCTGGTAGCTGGCTTAATACCAATCCTAGGGTCAATAAATTTTGTTTCACTATTGTCTTCATTATGACGCTCTAGACCCGATCCTTTAAAATGATCCTTTTTCATAGCTCTCATGTTAGCCTTCAGAGTGGGTGCCACATGAGTAAGCTGAATAGTTTTCCCTAAAAAATATGAACTAATAAATTCTAGCTCTTAGTATTGAACAATAAATACGAAATTGAACTATTTAAAATATTCCATAGAGTATACTAACAGAATCTTTCAGCTGCATGGGAATAAAGAGGTTTTATGGTAATAATAATAATATTGGCTAGTCATCATTTACATAAATGAAAATGCTCTTGTTGCTGTCAAAAACCAAACTTTTTTTCTCTGGCGTAGTAGGCCAGTATGTTGGCTGCTGAGCTATGGATGCCCTTAAGAGGTTTTATAAAGAACTGATTGTATAAAATATTTATAAATAGACAATAAACTCAATTGGGTACTTCTAGTAAACACAATTATGGTTCTCCTTAATCCACAGTAATCTAAGTTATCTTACACTAATATGGTGTAAAGCAACACAAAGTACTCCCTTAGATTTTCCATCAAACAATAAAGCATTATCCTTTTTGAGTTTATCCTCCCTAAGGAGGATATTAATTAATGCTTAAAATAAAAATGCATAAGAATGCTTCAATGTTACATTTTCTCGACCCCTTTGTATGGGGTAGAGGCCTGGATACTGAAACAATCCAACATTAAAAATCTTGAGGCATTTGAAATGTGGTGTTACTGGTATATTGTGTTACTAAAATACATGCACAAGTTCTTGAACAACTGGGAAAACAATGCAAAATTTTAAAATCTATAAAAATCAGGAAGTTGAAATGCAAAGGAAGTACATCATCGGAGGTGAAAAGTACAAACTATTAAGGAATATAATGCAAAGCAAAATCAAACACAGAAGAAACGTAGGAAGACAAAAAATCTCGTGGCTATGCAATCTATGTGAATGGTTTGAATACAGTTCAATTAAACTATTCAGGCACATAACAAACAAAATTATGATTGAACTTTAATCAAATAAAAGGCAGATATGTAGCAGTTTTTTATTAAATCCTGCCCAAGTACTTTCGCTTTCAGAGCTTCTTCAGGAGCATTTTGTCAAAATTGTAGGCTATCCAGCACTTCTATGAATAATATAATTGAAATTTTTCCAGATTAAGAAGCTACATTGTGGGTGACAGCAGGAGAGAGAAAATGATAATTTCCAGAATGATTTTCAATCTCTGACAGAAGCAGAACTTAAAGAAGAAAGAGTGTGAAAAATGTGGAATGTGGATATTATAGTGGGTGCAGTTTTCCCTTATTTTTGTAACCGTTTATACAGAAATCATTAAACAATGAGTTTCTCTATTATGATTTAATTACAGTAAATTTTCATTCTAAAACATGTATATTTAATTTTTATAAAGATTCTGGACTATTTCTACAATTTCTAATATTTTCTACTATAGTTATTTTTATGATAGTATGGTTTATGAATAATCTATAGTATTTAACTTATCAATCTATGTGTTGCAAGGCCTATGTTTATGTTGCACCTAATATTTTTGCTATTCGTTATACCCATAACAGCATTCTAAATTTTAAATACAATGATAAAGAAATTTTAGCAGATAAGTATTAAAAATCTTTACCTGATTTATCTACAGTCCTTCCATCTTCGTCTAATATTAAGGGAGCTGGTTTATTTGGCATTATTGGTATTTGAATAATATTGGGCAAAATTCCAGAGGAAAGTTTGTTCTTAATCTGTGCATGGAGCTGCGCTATCTTCCTAGCTTTATCAGCATCTCCTCTATTCAACAGCCCTACAGGTATACCATATATACTAGGTGTAGGAATACTGAGGTTTCCTATGCTAATATTATTTTTACTGGGAGGTGGTAGTTCCCTTTTAGAATTTTCTGTCGGTTTGGATTTTGGTCGATCAGGCTCCTTACTCTCATATCTAGAACCATTTTTGGAACGCTTTGAATCTCTGTCTCTATCATCTTCATGAGATCTTTTCTTGGATCTATGAGAACTTTTGAAATCATCCACTAAATCTGCAATTTTATCGGCTAGCTTATTAGCCTTTTTACTATCCAAATAAACCCCAAGTTTATCACTTATCTTTTTCTTGTCATAACCACTAGATACACAATCTGTAGCTGTCCTAAGCACTGAGGAATCACTGCTTCCTAAAAGTTTATATACAACTTTTTCTATTGATGGCTTCAGGTCATCTAAATCTCTTCTTGATAGATAAGACATTTCTACGGTTTAAAAAAAATAAAATTGTTACAAAATCACCCTTAAAATACCAACAAATAACACAAACGTTTCGTAAACGTAAAAATTTAGGTTATTTTTTGACATCTGTCAGCTCAGCTCTTCTTTTTTTTATGGTTGTATAAATCACCGAACAACGTTGTTCGGTGGTATAAATAGAGGAACTCATCCACCTTACTCACTTTCGATCGAGACGCTGAGCGAGCAGGTCACTGTTTACATACCCGCTCCGGAACAGCGTCGACGAAAGGTTTGAGAGAGTGTATACTCTGAAGCTTGCAGCGCACAGTTCGTCGATAGGAGTGGACAGCCGAAAAACCAACGAGGCCTGGCGTTGCCTACAAAATTAATTAGTACGGGGTTTCAGTAGAATATACTGGCCCCAGAATATTCCTTTTGTTAGGCCTAAACGCTTGCAGGAACAAGTGCCAGTACGTTGTTTCACTCTGTGTAGACGTCCAACGAGGGACCATTAAGCAGCGTGGTAACGCTGGTAAGTAAAGCCACTGTCAAATACCACACATATCACACTAGTAGGGCAAGCCTTTTTCTCGGGGGGTTTACAACCCCCTGGCTCCGTGAGGCTGCGGAGTCTGCTAGCGGTCTGATACTGTGTTGTTCAATTCCCCTGTTGCTATGCCTGGGTCTACCAGGTCCGCCCACTCCACCCGGTCTGTGACTAGATCACAGACTGCGGCATTAGCCTCCAACCCCTACTACGAGTTAGTACACGACCAAACAAACATAGAAACCCCCCAATCTGAGATCCCTGAACAATCGTACAACCCATATTCATCTGCTCGGGAACTCCAAGATCTCAGTCATGAAATTCTGATCCTACAAACTCGCTTTAACCAAAAACGCCGAGAAATCGAGGCACACGATAGCAATCACCCGATACTCCGAAAAATCGATTCTGACTACCCTCCACTACCATCCACGCATCGTAAACTCTCAATCTCTTCTTCTAAAAACACAACCACCAATCGCCAAAATGCACCGTCTACATCTCGTTCTTCTCGCCAAAATGCTCCTACTTCCCAACCTACTCAACCACCCTCTCAACAAATCACTTCACGTCCAACTTCACGTCCAATAAATCCACAACCCTCCACCTCCAATGACACAGCTCCACAAAATCAAACCCAATCTTTTGCCAATGCACTAAGGGCACCCCCAAACTCACGACCAAAACACAACCCAAACATCACGAACTCAATCAACAATCCGAAAACATTTGAATATCTAATCACTGATATCCCAAAAGATTTCTCTAATCAGAGAACCTTCTTCCGCGTTTTAAACTGCATTCCCATTCTTTTTAATAAAATCCATTCATTAAAAGTACTATCTCACGGAGTTGCTCATCTCCGTACCCTCCACTCCATAAACGCGGAAGAACTTCAAACTAAAGTCCATAAAGCCACCGGACAAACCCAAATAAAAATCTTATCTAGATCCCATTCCACTCACAACCAAGCCAACCGTTCAGAAAATCATCTATTCCTCATTGTAAACGTAGGACACGAATACTCTGAGGACGAACTAGCTCAAATTCTCACAGAGCAAGACATCCCTGTCACCAGGCTATGGAGAGTAAAATCTCGCATGACTGGTAAAGACACAAAACTAATAAAAGTCCTTACTACTTCCAACGACAAACTCAAACATGTCCTAAACTTCGGCATTCCTATCGATGGACTCATCCATTACACCGAACTCCCTTACTCTTCTAATCCAGCGATCCCTACCCCCAAATATTGCAGCAAATGCTGCTCAAATGGACATACCATCTCAGAATGTCGACAACGTACTTTCGTCTGCCCTAACTGCGGACAAAACCACAAATCCAGCGACTGCCCTAATCCCAACAAGCCAAAATGCCCTAATTGCAACGGCGATCACACCGCCTATTCCTCTCGTTGTCCAAAAAGACATGAACAACCCAACAATCCCTACCACATCCAACCCCTATCCTTCGAAAGATCCTCTCCCCCATATGACCTATCCACTGACCTCCAAAATACAATCAGACTCAGTACCTTAGTACTGCTCAATATCCTACCCGAAAGACGGGAACTAATCACTGCTATCACAAGTTCCGTGGTAGAAAAGATCTTCGGCCACACAATCACCTTGTCTGGCCACAACAATAAGGTCGAAATGACCTTCCACCCCACCTATTAAGTCCTCTCTATGGATTTCACACTAGGAGCAGTTAATTGCCAAGGGATCTCTAAAAAGAGACCCCTAATCAAACATATCCTGCAAAAACACAACATTCAAATTCTTGCCATCTCTGACACTCTCTGTCGCAACACTCCGACTTTTGCAGGATATACAACGATCTATCGAAGCCGCTGTCAGGTTTCCCGTGGGAATGGTATCCTTATCAAACATGGACTACCACACTCCCCCCACGTATTCCCTCAAAATACTCCTCCACCCAACGTGGACTTCCTGGCAATTGACCTCCACCTTCCGAACAACGAAACCCTCACGATAATCTCTTACTACAGACATCCAGCTAGCCCGCTTTCCACCGAACTCCTAGAGTACTTCGCAACTCTAAACAAAGCAATTCTCATGGGCGACCTGAACTGTAGACACACACAATTCGGTGATCACCACACAAATCCGGAAGGCATCAGACTTTCTGATTTTCTTCTCGACCTTCCCATCATAAGAATCACAAACACTGATTATACGTTTCTAAACGCAAATGGGGCATCTATCGTGGACCACATCATCGTCACAGGTAGCGTGATGCACAGGTTTGACGATAGATGTCACATAGGCGATACGATAACGTCAGACCATCTCCCGATATTAGTTAATTCTGATATCATGTCACCCAAAATTCCTCCACCTCCCAAACAATTAAGAGATTATCGCAACGCAAACTGGCCTCTCTTTAAACAATATATCACAAATAACATTCCCGAGTTAGGCGAACTCGATACTACTGAAAGTATCGACCAGAGTGCTATCCAAATTGAGAACCTCATAACTGAGGCCATCAATCACTCAATTCCTATGAAAACAATCCAACCTTTCTCTCCGGCACTTCCACAAAACATCATTGCCAAAATACACCAAAAAAGGCGGCTTTTACGCCAATACAAGATCAACAGAGACCCCCTAGTCAAAACAGAGTATAATCGCATCTCTGCTCGAATTAAGAGGGAAATATCACTCCTACAGGCTCGCCAGTGGGAAGATGCTACCTCGAAATTGGATTACAGGGATGGGGCTAGATTCTGGCACAAATTCAAAGTCCTAACCAAACAAAAAACTTCTCAACCCTCACATCTGTTGATCGACAACCAAATTGTCAGTTCCCCTGAACTGAAAGCCGAAGCATTCAGAAATTCACTTCACGAAAATTTCCAAACGCCCAATAAGCCAAACTTCGATCGCTTATTCAAACTCGAAACCGACTATGCAGTAAGAAACACTCTCTTGCACGAAACTCCGAACCACGTCCCTATCATGGACCCTATTACCGATAGGGAAACGGAGAGTTATTGCCGTATGGGCAAAAATAATTCTCCTGGACCCGACAATATCAGTAGAAGGTGTCTTAAGCAACTTCCTGAGAGTGTAATATCCCTTATCACTAAAACTATTAATGCATGCCTCAAACTCAGCTATTTTCCTACTCCGTGGAAAATAGCTAACACTATCATGATATCCAAAAAGGATAAACCCCGTACAAATGTGGAATCATACAGACCTATCTCGCTTATCAATTCACTAGGGAAAGTCCTTGAGTTAATCCTAAAAGAGAGACTCAACGACTTTCTTGAATCACACAATATCATCCCCAAATTCCAGTATGGTTTCCAACAAAAAAGATCCACACACAATGCATTAATAGATTTCACCACCAAAGTCTCACAATCCATAAATGGTAACAGCATCGCCATTGCCACTTTTCTAGATGTCCAGAAGGCATTCGATCAGGTCTGGCACAACGGACTTGTTCGGAGGCTTATGGACATTGGACTCCCCTTACAATTCACTAAAATCATAAACTCCTACCTTACAAATAGAACGGTTAGAGTGCGAATAAGCGACCAACTATCGACCCCCTTCACTCCTCGAGCAGGAGTTCCACAAGGCTCAGTTCTCGCACCCCTGTTGTACATCACATACAACAGCTCTATCCCCATCTCGAACACTCCACACACCCATCTGTTTCTCTACGCGGATGACACTGCACTCCTAGCGACAGGGAGTGATTACCTTCCTTTGGCCACCTTTAGAAGAGCACAAGCTCAACTAAACGGCATCGAAGAATGGTGCAATAAGTGGAGAGTCACGTTAAATGCAGGGAAAACCCAAACCATTGTGTTTCGGGCCCCTTACACCTCATCACGACTCATCAACAATCGTGAGGACCAAACTCCCCTATACCTGATGGGAGAAAGGCTCGTAACTAGTCCCACAGCTACCTACTTGGGCGTTTTATTCACTAAAACACTCAATTGGGCACCTGATCTAAAGGCAACTTTAGATAGGGTCAGAAACAGAGCCCGTCTCCTAGTCCCGCTATCGGGAACGTTTGGCAAAACAAACAACGTGACTCTCACTCACACTTATAAAACCTTTATTCGGCCCGTTATTGAGTATAAGGCGCACTTATATTGCCTTCTCAAAGGTCGTCAGAGGGGTGCACTCCTTGCTGCTGAGCGTAAAATTCTGCGTAGGACATGCAGAAAGCGGTGGTCCTTTCCCTCACGTGAAATCCATAGACTGGCAAATACCACCCCCATCCTCGAGAGAATAAAAACTCTCAACAGGAACTTCACTCTCAAAAACATCAATGGCCCCCCATCTAACACCCAAGATACCCTCAAAAGTTCCTGCATTTTCAGAGGTCATGTAGTAACTCGTATTCCCAAACAAAAACTCCCTCACCCCCCCTCAATCTTGATGCAAACCTGCATTAATGATCTTCCGGAAGACTACTACAATATTCTCGAGGCCACTCCACTTGCCTATCGCCGACCCTAAAACCTTTACCACACACATATCCTATCCTTACCCCGGACAGGGGGAGATTGGTTTTTTGCGGTTTCCCAATCTCACTACTCAATGATACCTGTCCGTCCCTGAGAAAATAGCCGCAACTATTTTCTCACACACACATACATACACAACACACTGACATTCACACAACATTACTCACACACCCCAACAGTGGAAGGGGTCCTCTTTCAAGCTACCGATACACCCTCATCACTGGGACCCCCGACCGCCCGCAGCCTCCGTTACTTTACACGGGGTCTGCGGTCGGCCGGGGTTATCTAGGTGATTCGAGGAGTCAGTAACAACGAAATGGTAGCGTCCGCCACTGTTGGAACACACATACATCCACTTAGAGCGAAGTGCGACAAGCCGACTCTCGAAAGCCGAGGCGCCTCCACTCACGAGCACACTCGTCCACAAAATTTCAGTGCAATACACTGGTTTTGGGGCCGGGTTAAGCTCGAGACTGCACAGGACCAATGGTTACTAGAGACCCGACCTTGTCGTACCTAGCTCTAAAACAACAAAACAAGACAAGAAAAGAACCACACTTACACTGACAAACCCTTCACTCTGGTTCTCTTGACTCTGTCTGTCTAACTCCTCCAGGCGAAGAAGGTGCCACAACAACAAAACAACAAAACGGAGAAGATCTTTGCGCCGGGGATTTTTGGGTGCTTGCCTTTGTGCGTGCTATACTACACAAACATCCAACTCAAGCCTGAAGAGGGTCAAACGACCCTAAACGGGTACAATGTAAAATTCTATCCCCACGAAATAAAGTTCCTATACCTATCCCACAAGAATTAACATTGAATCAATCAATCACCTTACTCTTTAATGTGGTTTATAAAAATAAAATCACCCCACACATGACGTAAAATATTTTCGGTATTCTGAATATATTGATATTCATTAGATATTTTTCGTTCGTAGTACAACTAAAACTAGAAATTATAAACGCATGCATATTTTTCATTGCTCGCTCGTATTCGTAAAATTCAAATACAATAAAAAAATTAAGGGGTTGGCAATATATACATAGCGAAAATACAAGTTTTAATTTACATTATTGTTGATGAATGATATTGAGTTTTGCACCATTCGTTGCCGGTCAAAAATTACGAATTTACTTAGGATCCTTTTAGGAGAGATAAAAGGCTTGTTTACACGGAGACAGTAAAGTGGTAACTAAATTTAAGTTAATCTTAATGTTTTTTCCGCAAGTCTTGTTCACGTGTTGAGGTCAAAAGGCCACAAAATAGACCAAATTCTAGCGGTTGTCAGTAATAAAAAGGAATTCTAAAAACAGAAGGCCACAAAATAGAGTCAGAAGAAGTAGATCAAAGCAATACTCTTTTAGTAGAAGAAAAAGAGTGTGAAGAATATTATAAAACAACCGTAAAAAGGGATAACGAAGGAAGATTTGAAGTTAAAATACCGTTCAATTCTAATACAAGTCTATTAGGGGGCTCAAAACAGCAAGCATTTGCGAGACTGTTGCAATTAGAGAAGAAATTTCAAAGAGACACAAACTTAGAAAAAGAAGAGGTGGTGTTGTACGCTCGTTGTTGATTCCAAGGAATCTACTTGCAGTAGATTACAATAACTTATACTATTTTTAAGTGACATATGAAGATAAAGGAAGGCAGATATATTCGAGACCAAGAGAGCCAGAAAACAAAGGCATCAAGGTTCTTGCATCCAATCTCATCCAGGGCCTTGAAGACATACGGTATCACAACCAAGTTTAAGTAAAACTTTAAAGAAATCCCCTCCTAGATCAATTTCACTTAATGAGCTTAGATTTGAATAAGATAGTTTAGTTGAAACATAAATTCTAAATATTTAAGTTATAGGTAACACTGCTCGGGTGAGATAATAATTTAAAAACCGTGTGAATTAGTGTTATGACTATTGTTATATTATTATTTTATATTTTATATGTGTTCAAATATTTTCTATTGGGCATCTGTTTCTTTTATATAGTGGCCAATATGTTCAATCACAAATTAATCCCTTAATTTGTAATCTCACATTATTCTTAACTTCTTAATCTTTTATAGTTTCACCGTGTATAATTGAGCCATTGTAAAACTATATCGAGTAATATTTTAATAATTAAAGTACATTCACCTGTTAATAAATTGTCGAATAATATATTTTCCAATTGAACTTCCTAAGTGTTGTCATTACGACCTAGATTAAATTGTATTGTAAGCTCATAGTTCAAAGTTTGTTAGTATGATAGAAGCAATAACCTCTGTGCTAAGATATTCATTATTTGTGCGATTATAAATGGGGAATTTTAGCTCATCTGAGTGCAGTCTATTATACATAGTTACCTAACTAACATCATATAGTGTAATTAGGAGTAGCTGTCAATAAAACCAACATTTTTTCTCCACAACTTCAAAGTTTTATTGTGGTCGATCTACAAGAAGCGGACAAAAGGGCAATATGACTAATATAATAACTGATACATAAATATTTCCTTTTTAGGCACCTGCTAACCATGAGGATTGGAAAGTAATTGAAGAAGGATTTTGCAGAAGATGGAATTTTCCCGAATACTGCGGTGCTATAAACGGTAAACATGTTGTAATTAAGGCACCACCTGAAGCTGGCAGTTTTTACTATAATTATAAACATTCTCATAGTATTGTACTGTTATCAGTTGTAGATCATAACTATTGTTTCAAATATATATAAATGTGGGATGTAACGGTAGAGTTTCCGATGGAGGAGTTTTCAGAAATAGTACTTTATATGATGCTCTAGAGAATAATATGTCACCAGAAAATAATTTGCTGGTCGCCGATAACGCTTTTCCGTTGAAAACATACTTGATGAAACCATATTAGGTCAAAATTTAACAGTAAAACAGAAGATCTTTAACTACCGTCTCTCAAGAGCACGGCGTACAGTTGAAAATGCGTTTGGGATATTAGTGGCTCGGTTTAGAATTTTTAAAAGACCATTACCATATACATATAATACACGTAAAGTGGATAAAATTGTAAAAGCATGTTGTGCTTTGCACAACTGGCTTAGAATGTCACAAAGCAATTCCAACGTCCCAACAATTGATGTAGAAGACGTTGACAAAGGTTGTATTTTGCCTGGAAATTGGAGGCTAGTACCATCAGAAAGAATGATTGCAGTTCAAAGCAATACCCAAAATCATTCAAGTCATGAGGCGCAGATTTTTCGTGAAAAATATGCTGATAATTTTGTTGGTGAAGGCTCAGTACTTTGGCAATTAAGAATGATATATTAAATTAAAAAATATGCAATAGCTGAAATTATTTTATTAACTTATTTTTAAACGGTGTTGGAAATGCCTATTTAATCTTGTGCCTCCAATACGTATTCTCGTATAATCTTAAAATTCTATCTATTAATCTATTAATCTTAAAAGAAACAAAAATACATATTACAGAAACGTTTTATTTTGTAAAAAAAATATATACAAATTTTGTTCACAGAACATAATTTTAAATTACTGGTTTACCAATAAACTTAAACTATGAGTATTTAAATATATAGAAATGTAATTACTATTTAACTGGGAATAAGCCAAAATTAAAGATAAAAATACGTTTATTGACGTTTCAATTTCCACTTCGGAAATCGTTCTCAAAATACAAACAGTAAATTAAACAAATTTTGTTTTTTTTAAACAAAAAAAAATTGTTTAACTTACTCTTTGTATTTTGAGAACGATTTCCGAAGTTGAAATTGAAACGTCAATAAACGTATTTTTATCTTTAATTGTGGCTTATTCGCAGTTAAATAGTAATTAATTTAAAATGCCACAAGAAAATAGCTTCAGAACAATAAATAGAAATGTAAGTTTTATACTTTTTCTAATTTCTCCGTAACATCATCAATTTCATTATTTTGTGTTTCTTCATTTTTTGAGTCTTTTTCATCATAATTTGATTTGGTTGGTTTGGGCATCTCATATCTCATCAAATTTCTGCAAAATAAAAAATAAATAATTATACAGAATTGGAATTTAAAGAACTTTAACATTGGACTAAGTGTTTTCTTTTATACCGGATAGATAGACATTTTATATTTTAAACGGAATAGATAGACATTTTATATTGGCCACAGTGTAGATTATCTAGTTAGAACCGGCGCACAGATACTTCATTCGGTTTCAACGCATTTCTTTTTAGTCGATCCGTTCAAAAACATATCACATTCTCGTTTAAAAGTGGTATTATCAGTCGAGGAAAGAGTAAGTATTTACCATCAAAAGTTATTATTACGGATTTTTGATCGAGGAGTACTTGGTTGTTTTAATATTTTCTTTTGAAAAACGAGCTGTTTCAAGTTTTATAAAAATGAGTCAATCAATTACAATAACATTCTTCTTGTAGGAAGAGGAGGAGGTCATCTGTAATTTTGGTCATCTGTCTTTATCTGTCCAGTTGTTCAGCTGTCATATCAACGTTTTGGAGATCTTAGACGTATTGATTGTAGTTTTTGCCTTTTGGACCACTACACAATTAGATCTAGAATCATCCGTATTACGTGGTCCCTCGAACAGCGGTACCTTGCTCTTACCCATCTGACAATGTCCTGCTCTTCAAATTTTCTTAGAGTGTCCTCGTTACGTATTCTACCATTTGTGGTCCCCTCAGTGCTCGTAAAATTTTCATCCTTTTTCTTTCTTATTTTAAATTTTGTTTCTGATGTTTAAGTTGTAGTCTCAGTAGCGTAAGTCAATATGGGCCTGACGCAGGTCTTATAAATTTACATCTGTTTTGTTCTGTGATTATTTTTATATACTATAGGGGAGACCGTTGTATCTTGACCATCGTGTACCTTGCGCCATTAATCAGTGGCACATTGAGTAGCAGTCTATTTATTGGTAAGAGAAGAGAGCACAATATCTTTATTATTTAGTTTATGGTTTGGTGTGGGAAGCCGTTTTTGTTTATTTTTGCATACTCGAGTATCTTGAAGTCAAGCTGCATCTTGCACCTTGCACCGGCTCAAGATACAATAGGTTGCAGTGATTTTTGTTTGTTAGAGATTGAAATTCATCATGCCACCAAGCAAAATAGTTATCAAATGAAAACCAATAAATGCTGATGCATTGCAAAATATCTCAACAAGAGAATGACGTTTCAAGAGGCGGAAAAAGTACTCAAAGTGAGCAGGTCTACAATAACTGGGCACCTAAGAAAATATGTGAAAAGTGGGGCCGTTACATTTGAATACGGTTAAACAAGTAGTCAGCGATACTGAAGAGCAAAACCTTGTTACGTATATCCAAAATTTGGCTAAAATGCAATATGGTCTGACAAAAAAAAAAGAAAAGAATTTCGGTTTCAAATTTCAGAAAGGCTAATAAAAAATACCCAAACACATGGCTTAAGAAAGAAATGGGCCAAGAAAAATAAATGCATGCATTTTTACAGAGACATTCTGACATTATTTAGACTCAAAAGTCAGAAGCCACATGTCTTAGCCGTCTCACGAGCTTTAATCGCCACAAAGTGCATTGTTTTTTTCAGAACATAAGAGACGTTCATAAACGTTTTAGTCCAATTCCGCCGGAACGGATTTGAAATGCTGACGAAACAGGAATATGCACTCTACAAAACAAAAAATAGTCGGACCTAAGGGTTAGCGGCAGTTAATGGAATAGGAAACGCAGTTCAACCTTTATTCGTTCTTTCTTGAGTGAATTACAAGGACAAAATGATTTTTGGAGGGCCTCCCGGATGTATTAGCGCTGCATCTGAAAAAAAATGCTTACTGTTCTTGACAATCATGAAACATACACCTTTCTCCAGAAGTTGTAAAAAAATCCTCTGATTCAGGAGTAGTGATGGTTACATTTCCTCCTCACAGCATTCAGACGCTGGAGCTTTTAGCCTTTTTATCTCTTAAAACCTACTACAACCAAGCGGGGTTGAAGCATAGTTGATCAACAATGCAGAGAAAACATTCGACATATAAAGTTGATGAAGCTCTTCTTACTTGTGGATTTCGTAAACCTGGAATCTACTCCTTTAATAAAGGGATGTTTTCAGAAGCCGATTTCTTCTTCGTATGTCAGTGATCGTTCGACAACATCTCCCCTTCCAGCTTCAGTAGACACAACATCAGAAGTAGGGACTTTAAGTGAAACAGTCAATTCTGTTGCTTTTCTTGCAGTGCGTTGAGGTTATACAAGGTAGCCATCTGTTACTGTTCCAGGACCTTCAGGTAAAGAGCCTACCCACTCCACATGTCTGTTTGTTTTAGTTACGGGAACTTCAACTGACACAAGTGGCTTAGTTCCTGTTACTGCGACTTGTAATACAACTAATTCTACTCACGAAAGTAAAGAACTTGAATTTCTATCGACTCCTTATCGATGGATAAGTAATATTAATAAAATTCTAAAAAATAGTAAATATGAAGTTACCGATCAAAGCCCTATGAATGTCGCCGGGAAAATGGCGTTTAATGAAACAGGAACGAACTAAACCGCAAAAAAGACAGCCAACCTTGAGGTCTTTTTGCGGTTTAGTTCGTTCCTGTTTCATTAAACGCCATTTTCCCGGCGACATTCATAGGGCTTTGATCGGTAACTTCATATTTACTATTTTTTAGAATTTTATTAATATTACTTATAATGCTACCTAAAGTTAAAATCAAAGCTTAATATCCATTAAATAGTTGGAAGTTATTTATGATTTTCTTGGTTCTTACTCACTTATTAACATTAAATAACATTGAATTTACTTTAGACCACATGGTCAATTGCTGTGCTAATTTTTTACAAGTTCATATATGTTGTTAGTTGCTTAACTGTTTATACAAGATCAGCGTATTATGTCCATTTACTTAGTTTCATTCACATGTTTGTTAATAACATTGACTGCTACATATCTTTTTAAGGTAACAATTAACATCGTTTCCATGATTGTGTGGTTCTCATATTGTAATAATTTTTTAGATGAACTGATGATGCTTTCAAAACTCGAAAGCGAAACGTCTTCAAAATAGATAAAGTAGCCTATCAACTTTGTCTTTTATTTCTCCACCTAGAGACCGATATAAGAACCCACCACTCGTCTGAGTGATCCTATATATATATATATATATATATATATATATATATATATATATATATATTAAACAATAAGTAACTGTTACGTAAATCTATAAACTTTGATTTCTATGTATATACTTACAAAACAACCAACGCCAATACAGCATATATGCCCATATTAACGAAATAGAAAATACCATTGTTGATATTTATTGTTGCATTATATATTTGAGGATAAAGGGTCATAGAAATTAGTCCTGCTAGGCTGTCTAGAACTCCAGAAGCAGCGTAAAGTTTTCCCAATTCTTGGCGCTCAACCATGAACGACATTAGTGATTTAATCATCGATCCAGAAAGGCTACCAAAAGAACGAGTAGTATATGCTGAAAAGTAAAAGGGATATCATTAGATACATGTACTTTTTTCTCCAAAGTTCGTTCCACGTCATCAGTGAGTCATTCTATGTCTTTAGAGTAGAATAGAATAGAATAGAAATATGCTTTATTGTCACTGAAAATTGTACAATTTTATGGACAAAGCTTATAGAAGTTAAAAAAAGTAGTAATAACAATAAGAATTAAAATTACTAAAGTTACATAAATCGTCAATATCACAGAATAAAACGTAACAAAATATACAATCCATTGCAAAATTTCACTATATTGCAAATTGCATAATAAAACCTTACGAATTAGTTTACGAATAAGTTTAAGCTGCTGCATGTGATACCTATATATATATATATATATATATATATATATATATATATATATATATATATATATATATATATATATATATGTATATATATATATATATACACTTTGTAGCTAAACGTACTGTACTTTCTTAATTATTCGTTAAAAAACTCTTCCACTGAATACTAAGGTCTTTCAGATAAATAAGCTTTTGTCAATTTACGAAACTTAAGGAAAGAAGTTGTATATTTAGGGAGATGGTTGTATAATTTTTTTGCTGAATATAATATAGATTTCTTTACTAACTCGGTAGCGGTAGGGACTCGGTAAATACACATCAAAGCTTGAATTTTTAGTGGAGTAGTCATGACTAAGCCTTGCTGGAAAAACATGAAGGTGTTTACGAATTAAGCAAACAGTTTCTAGAATCTATAGAGAGGGAAGAGTTTAAATCCCGTGATTTTTGAAGTAGCTTTTGCAGTGTATTATTCTACTGAGGCCAAAAAGATACCGCATTGGTATTTTTTGTAATTTAAAAAAATTAATTGAAATGGGCAGCTGTACTAGAACCACAAAAAGGAAGGTCATATCGAAGATGAGACTCGAACAAAGACAAGTATATTATTTTGGAAGATGCTAAATTCATTTCCTTCGAAACAGATCTTATCGCATAGCAGGCTGAAGCTAGTTTCTTACTTAACAAATCAATATGAAGGGACAATTTAAAGTTACTGTCTATAAAAATACCAAGAAATTTTACAGAATCAATTATGCTGATCTGGCTGTTATTAAGAAGCAAGAGTTGAAGAGCTCCTTTATAGAATAATAAATAATAACGTCTTATCCACGTTAAAAGAGAGTAAATTCAAGTCGTACCAGGTTTTTATTTTAAGTAGATCAGAAGTTATAATTGCATGAAGGGTTGCAATATTAGAGTTCTTTCAGGTAATACTGGTATCATCCGCAAGAAGAAAATTTTTTCCATCGATTTTAAGTTAGTGATGTCATTTATAAAGATAAGGAAAAGTAGAGGATTACACCTAGCAGTAAACCTTGTGGTACTCCACATATAATGCTTTTGTGATTAGAGTCAATACCTTAAGTAAGATTGGAACCAGTTCGAAGAAATACCTCGGATTCCGTGAAAATTTAGTTTTTTTATCAAAATGTCGTGATTTACACAATCAAAAGCTTTGGCATAGTCACAAAAACCAGTGGCAGTATAAAGGCTATTGTTTAGTGCTTGATAGACCTCATGTAGTACAGAAAACATAGCATTGCTGGTACATTTATTAGATAAAAAGCTGAACATATACCTTTTTCAAATAAATCGTTAATTAGTGGGAACAGGACTTCCAACACATTATTTGTGAGATTTAAGAAAATTTTTATGGATAGTCCATCAGTTCTACAGGAAGATTTGCTTTTGATACTACTGATTGTTTGGATCAGTTCACATTTATCAACTGGTCTTATAAATAATGAATTTGAGATCTTTTTTGAATTGAGAAGATAGGAAAAATAGCTGATGTTATATTTTTACTCACATTAACGAAGTATTCATTTAGATTTTCAGGGTTTGGAAGAGAAAATGTTTGAGCTGTGTTAGTTTTATTTCAAAGATCGTTTATTATGGACCAAGTTTCCCATGCAACAATTTTAGAGCTTCCCAGACGATTTTCATAGTATATTTTATTAGCTGTTTTGATAAGTTTTAGATAGATTCCTCTATACATGGAGATATATTCAGTGACAAAGATATTGGTGGTACATTTCTTGATGTACAGTAGTGAACGCATATTCTTGGCTGATTTGCGGATACCTATGGTAGTCCAGGGTTTGTGATGTTTTGAGTTAATTGTAATTAAAGGAAGTGCCTTATTGAAAATACAGACAAGCTTATCTAACTCCTTTACAATACAATCAACTGCTTAGAACTTCCCTAACCGAGCTAATACTCCGAAAGCTACACAAAAATACATTAACACTTATAAATGTAGACACATTACTTTTAAACGAAGAATAAATTCTTAAAAATGGCAGATAAAAAAACAAAATGGCGTATATTTGAAAATATGTTCAAAAATTTACATTTTTTTTGACTTTTTTCAGTCACAAAAATTGTAATATTATTCGTTTGGTCACATTGTAGTAAATTATCATAGACAAAACCAAAACAAACAAAATGCATTAAGGTTTATTAAAATCTACCGAGTAGATCCGGAGATTAACTGTCAGCCAGTTTTAAAAACGTAGTTTTTCTCAAAATCTTTAATCTTCGGATCTAGTCGATCGATTTTAATAAACCTTGATACATTTTGATTTGCTTTTGTTTTCTCTATGATAGTTTACCACAATTTGTCCAAGAAAAATAATATAAAAATTTTGTGATCGAAAAAAAGTAAACAAGAAGATACATTTTTTAACAATTTTTTCAAATGTCCGTTATTTTGATTTTTTTTTTATAATTTTTAATATTTTTAGTAAACTATCACGTAAGGGTATTTCTTTTTTAAAACCCTTCTCGAATTTTATATTTCAGATTTGTCGTTCCAGGATTAACTGTGCGCCATAGAGCAGTAATTTTGGACGACAAATTTTTTGGCGGCATTTTTAAAATACACAAACAATGAAAAAAATTTTTTTTTTGTGATCTTAAAAAGTTGTTTTATAATACAAAAGAAGTTTAAGTGCCATATATACTCGTATTAGGTAAGATACAAAAAAATTGTTGAAATTGTGCCATTTATTAACATCCTAGATGGTAATAGTACCTCAAATGAAGATTACACGAAAATTATGTGTGCTGTACTTATTTCCATAGTAAATCTTGAGTTTAGAGCATCAAACATAACGTTATTATGCATGAAAACAGAAAGGAGGAAAAACATATTTTTTTGCAGTGTAATTTATTAATCTGTCAACATAATAAGCTAGATATTGGCCTTCAGTGTCTTCTATGTCACAAAGGATATTGACAATAAATTAACTAATCAGGATATATTGTATACTTTGTAACCAAAACATAAATTGGAAAAATTTTCAAGAATGACTATATCAATAAAAAGACTTGTAAGTACCATGAAAACATTTACAGATATCGAGTTGGTTGGCAGTAAACAACTTTAAAAAATTAAAATTAAAAAGAAAACTCTGAGCAATCACATGCAATAAAGCAGCAAGCAAATGTAATATAAAAATACTGAATATAAAAAACTTACAAGTCCTTAGTTAATTTGTAGATGAAGTATTAAATAAAGAGACTGATAAAAATGAACTTTACGATTAGAGGACACAAATGCACAATCTTGGGTGCATATGCAGTAAATGATCAGTAAACATTAAAAACGATTTTTTTGAGTAATTTTATTAGTTATTAATTTTGAGTAAAGACAAATATGATTGTACAAGATGTAAGAGTATTGAGAGTAGTTAGCTGTGGAAGCGATCATCACTTATTAAAAGCTAAGATCACATTTGGAGTAAATAAACCTAAAGAAGAAAATGACAGGGAGAAAGTAATACAGAAGAGATATAACCTAATCAGCTTAGAACAAGAAAGCGTGAGAGAATTATACAGAAATACATTAAATCAAAAGTTGGAAAATAAATAATTTAAAAATAATGAAGAACATTACACTCACATAAAAAGGTGCCTCCAGGAGGCAGCAACAGAAGCCATTGGATACCAAATCCAGAATCAAAGAAATTTTCCATATTGGTTTGACGAACAAATAGAACAAGAAATAAAGAAGAAAAGAGACCAATATCAAGAATTATTAAATACAAAGGATATAGCACAGAAACTTGGAGAGTCTTAAAAGCTTTACGACAAGATAAGAAGAGAAACATAGTATTAACAATAACAATGAATGACTGGGACCAATATTTTGAGAAACTCCTAAGTTAAGATAGACCACAATTTAAAGACAGCAACGAAACACAAAATATAAATATTTTAACTTCGCCCATACGAATAACAACGAGAAAAGTGGAAGACGTATGTAGATATCTACAAAATAACAAAGCACCGGGTCCAGGCAACATCCTTGCAGAGTTAATTAAACACGGTTCAACGAAACTATATACAAGTTTAGCCAAATTATTTCATTAATGCACTTTTAGACATCATTCATAACCACTATACACAAAAAGGGCAGAAGGGATGAATGTGACAATTACAGAGACATTGCCGTGACAAACTCGGTCAGTAGAATATACGGAAATGTAATTAAAAATATAATAGAAAGCGAATATAAAGACTTAGAGGCTGAGGAACAGGCAGGATTTAGAGCAGGTAGATCTACTGTTGATCATTTGTTTTGCATTACACATATTATTGAAAATAGCCGTTAATCAAGAAGTACATTTATTGTATATAGACCTACGAAAGGCTTAGGATAGGATACCACATTATAAATTATGGAAAGCGTTAGAAAAAACAAACATAAGCATGAATTTAATAAATGCGAAGAAGGAACTGTACGCAAATGCTAACTCAAAGGTAAACATTGGAAATAAACTGTCAAGTGGATTCCAAAGAAATAAAGGCCTTAAACAGAGCTGCTTATTTATGCTGACATTATTTAAAATTTATCTAGAACAGGCACTAAAACTGTGGAAGCGCAAATGTAGACATATAAGAATGCTGATTAACAATAGCATATACACTTTGTAATTTTTAGATGATCAACTAGTGATAGCACAAAATTAGGAAGATATTGAGTATATGACTCCAAAATTAATCGAGAAGTATAAAAAATGGGGACTTGAAATTAATATCCAAAAAACCGAGTATATGTGTATTGGCGGGAAATAACAGGACCTCATATTGGAATATGGAGAAGTTTGTTGAGGAGAAAAACAACCAAGCAAGAAAAGTATTTTCCCTTCTCAATAGTATCCATTAAAAGTATAATTACCTACAGTAGTATAGTACGGCAGATAAAGGAAATATACAAGAGCAAACGTGAGGCAACGGAAATGGATTTCTGGAGACGTTCAGCTAGAAAATCTAGAGTACAAAAAGTAAGGAATAACAGAATAAGAGAAATTATAAAAGTAAAACGATATTAGACGATATTGGTACCCAACAACTCAGATGGTACGGTATTGTACAGAGAATGTCTGAAGAACGTCTTCCAAAACAAGTTTTAATGTGGACTCCTTAGGTAGGAAAAAAAGAGGAAGATCTCGCCTTAGTTGGAGAAAAAGCATCAATAGAGAAATTAAAGAGAGAGATATAGAAAAGACATGGATGAATTGAGAGGATGGTAACTGGATATCGGAAGACGTAGGAGAACGTTTTAAACCGATCTATATATATATATATATATATATATATATATATATATATATATATATATATATATATTTTATTTATATATATATATATATACATATATATATATATATATATATATATAATATATATATATATATATATATATATATTAAATAAAATGAAAAATTTATTCTATGAATTTTGATGGGTGCCCCAATTAAAACCTTTAAGAATAATTTAATCTTACCTGCTATTATAAAATAACTATTAGTTGCCACTGCCAACAGGAGATTTGCTACAGTCTCCGTTAAAAGTGAAAACACGGTAAGCGGCAATTCTTTGATTTTTAGTTTCTTATACAAAACTGTAGTCCCAAACATAGTTCCCATAATGGACACAATACTGGTATAGCAGCTAGCGTACGTAATTTGTGGTAACGTCCAGGAAACTTTTTGTCTTACATAAAGCGTTTTAAGCAGAAACTCTCCCCTTACAGCAAAGGCACAAGCCGTGAGAATAGCCGTAAATATAAGAATATAGTGTCTCCCTTCCCTCTTCTTAAACGGGACTTTTAAGATCTCTGTGATATTTAACGTCGAAACCAATTCTTTGCAAGATGGTATCTAAAAAAATATAAAGACTAAATATTTATATGGAATAACTGTGAGAATAAAAAAAAAATAGAAATAAAATAAGCATTAATATTCTCCATACTGATCAATAATGCCATCGTTAGATGGTGCCACTCACACCGTTCGTGGGCTTTGCCTTACTTGTGTATTTGAGCAAATTTTGGAAAATCCGAAAGCCAGCCAGCGTTGCATCTTGGCTTAAAATTAACTTCCTTACAAAGAATCTTCAAGGGGCTGGGTGCATTTTCGTATGTGATTCAGATACATCAACAATTACATCTCAGGGACTATCACAGTAGAGAGTGGAATATTGTGCCAGAATTCTTGCATTAAAGTATAAAAATCCTGAATTTTTGAAAAATGTATGTTTTACAGATGAAGCACATTTTCATTTGTCATGTCATGTAAATCGTCGCACAAATCGATTTCTGAGCTTTGCCAGACCATATGAAGTTCAAGAAGTTCCTTTACATAACGCAAAAGTAAGTGTCTGGTGTACAGTTTCGGGACGCGCAATCATTGGTCCATAGTTTATCGAAGAAAATGGTACGCAAGTCACACTTAATCAACAGAGGTACATACAAATAATAAGAGACCAATTTTTCCAACAGGATGGGACAACTTGCCATACTGCTTTCGCAGTTCGTCAATTTATTCAGGGACATTTTCCAAACAAATTCATTTCACGATTTACTAACCTTTCTTATCCTGCACATTCTCCAAACTTTACATCTCCAGACGCATACATTTGGGGCATGGCTAAAACTGCCGTTTTTAAGCGGGCACCACAAACCATCAATGAGTTAAAGGATGCCGTTAGAGCCTTCTTCGCGGACTTCTTATTAGCCTTCTGTCGTCCATGTTTGGACATAGGCCTCTCCCAACTCCTTCCATCGGTCTCTATCCTGAGCAACATATTTCCAATTTGTTCCGGCTATTCTTTTAATGCCATCAACCCATCTCATCTGTGGTCTTCCTCTTGGTCGTTTACTTTCGTAAGGTCTCCAATGTTGTATTGTAGTATTCCAACGTTGGTCTTTCTGCCTAGCAGTGTGACCCGCAAAGCTTCATTTAAGTTTGGCAACTTTTGTTGTTATGTCCTCGACTTTTGTTTTGGATCTTACCCAGTCGTTCCTCTTTTTATCTGACAGTCGTATATCTAACATTGCTCTTTCCATTGTTCTTTCTGTTGTGGCTAGTTTATTCATGTTTGCCTTGGTTAGGGTCCAGGTTTGACATCCATATGCCATGACGGGAAAGATGAATTGGTTGAACACTTTGCTGCTCAAATATTGGGGTATTTTGCGGTTCTTAAGTATCCAACTAAGTTTTCCAAATCCTGCTCATGCTAGTCTTGCTCTTCTAGTAATTTCCGCACTTTGGTTCTCTTTGTCAAGTCTCAGGATTTTGCCTAGGTAGATATATTCCTGGATTTGTTCTATCTCACTGCCGTTTATAGTTATATGTCTGGGGTCATCTGTGTTTGTCATTATTTTTGTTTTTTTCATATTAATTTTTAGGCCGACGTATTGGGAGCTGGCTGCTAGTTCCCCCAACATAACTTGCAGTTCCTCGAATGTGCTCGCTATAATTACTATGTCGTCAGCGAATCTGAAGTGGTTTAACTTGTTGGCATTAACGTTAGCGCCATAGGTTGACCAATTTGTAGTTTTAAAGACGTCTTCTAGGGCTGAAAAGCTTTGGCGATATTACGTCTCCTTGTCTCACTCCTCTCTTAATGGGGATGGGATTTGTATTTTCGTCTAGTTGTACTATCATAATTGCATTTTCATATATATTATGTATTAGTTGCCTATATCTCGAATTTATTCTACAATTATTAATAGCTTGTTCTATGGCCCACATCTCGATACTATTAAACGCCTTTTCATAGTCAACGAAGGCAAGAAATAAGGGTAGTTGGTATTCATTTGCCTTCTCTATCAATGTTCTCATTGTCAGCAGATGGTCTGATGTACTATATCCTTTGCGAAAGCCAGCCTGTTCAACCGGTTGGTAATTATCCATTTTGTAGGTTAACCGGTTATTAATAATTTTCATAAATAGTTTGTATACTTGATTGAGCAACGATATAGGTCTATAATTCTGTAGATCACATTTGTCCCCTTTTTTGTGTAAGAGTATTACTACACTCTCGTTCCAGTCTTTAGGGATCTGGCTATTATGGAGACATTTATTAAATAGCTCTGTTAGTATAGGGATTAAAGACAACTTTAAAGACAACGCGGACTTAAGACAACCTATATTCCATAACATTACGATAAATCTGGAATATCGGTATGAACTCTGACTTCAAAGGAGAGGAGCTCATTTAAAACATGTCATAGAGTCTCAATAATATGTACTTTTTCAAACAATAAAATAAAACTTCAGTACTATTTATTTTGGGCTATACTGTATAATCTCTCTTCTATGGTGCTACTGCCCACATCAGACCCTGTCCTTTCCCAGAATCGGTTTCCAAGTATCCCTTTGCTTGGCTACTCTCCTCCAGTTATCCACTTTCATGATCTCTTTAGTATCTTAGGTTCCTTTCTTCTTCGGTTTAGGTTCTTACTTCGTCTTTCCACCGGTTACTTAAATTTTCTATTGGCCGACGTCTACCTTAGTTCTACTAAGTGTTCTAAGCTCCCACTTCTCTTCCTCCTCAGTCTCAATCACTTTTGGGATGTGGTGACATCATCAGACCTTTAGAGTTTTTTCACGATTTCCCTCCATCCTTCTCTGTCCTAGGCTAGTTGTTCGGCTTCATGTAACCCTTGGTTAATCAATATTTTTGTTTGATCTACCCAACGGCTTGGAGATCTTCTCCTAGGTCTCTTTCCTTCAACTCCACCGTCGATTATCAGTTTTTCCATCGTACCTGTTCTTCTAGCAGTGTGTCCAAAATACTGCAAATATCTCTGTTGTATTTGTTTAAGCAATCTATCCTTTACTTTAAGTTGTTCTTAATAATAAAATATCGATCCGTTAGTGCTAATGATCAATCTAGGATATTTCCAACCCACATTTCAAAAGCGTCCAGTTTATTTTTATCCGCTTTCTTTAAGGTCCACGTTTCGGATGCATGTGTGGCTATGGAAAAAATGAGCGCCCTTACCAGCCTTAGTTTTGTTTCTATTGTTATGCTAGAATTTTTCCAAATTGCTACCAGTTTCATCATAGCTGTTCTAGCAATAGTCAACCTTCTACGTATCTCTCTGTCACACTCTCCGTTATTTGTTATTAGGGACCCCAGGTATATGAAACTATTTACTACTTTAAAGCCCCCAATTTCTTTAATGTGTTGAAGGTTATTCCGAGCTATGTCTACTATCTTGATTTTTGTCTTACTTCTATTTAGCTTTAGTTAATATGTTTTGCTTTTTTTCCTCCAGACGTCTCGTTATGTCTTCCATTTCTTCTTGATTTGCCGCGATTATTAAAGTGTCATCAGCATATCTCAAGTTACTGATTTTTGCATCTCCCACTGATGTTTCGCCCTTCCATCCGTCTAGTACCTTTCGCCTAATGTGTTCGTTGTAGATATTTGCGTTGGCGAGATTATGCTTCCCTGCCTGACACCTGCCTCTGTTCTGAAATGATCGGAATGGGTGTTGTTTATTTTTTCTGTGCACTTATTATTTTTATATACACTTCTAATTAGTTGAGTTAGTCTAAATGCTGCCATTTGACTTTATCGAAGGCCTTTGTGTAATCCGCAAAGCACAAAAGCATAGAAATTCACGAGTTTTTTCGAGTAGCTGTCTGACATTAAGAATATGTTCTCTTGTGCCTTTTTCTGGGGCAAATCCCGCTTGTTCTTCTGATATCTGAGGCAATAGAAAAGCTTTTAGTCTCTCATATATTACATGAAGTAGAACCTTGCTTGCATGGGATATTAGGGTTACCGTTCTGTAGTTGCTGCAATCTAGCGGAGTTGCTTTTTTAAAAAGCTCCCACTAGGTGTTCTATTATTATCCATTTTTATAACATGACCGCCCAGTGCAATCTTTGTATTTTTAAATCATTTTCTATAGAGGATTCTTTGTAACATTGATGACTCGTGGTTGAACCTTATATTTTACATACCACTGTTGTAGATGAGCCCCAATAATCTTTTCAATAACTTTCTTTTAAGGGTAATAATATGGTTTATTGTTTTTTGTATCATGATCGTATATATTGTGTCGTATGATGGTTTTATATATTTTAAACTTTACTTCCCTATGGATGTCTTTGGCATTTTCTTTAAGGGACTATTTCTGCATTTGTCGTCGACCCTGACCCTACCTTTCAGTGGGGTTGGTTACCCAATGTCCGTTAAGGTTGCTCAGGTTTGCCGGGGTTTACCCGTTAACGAGTAATTAGACCGGTGACAGCATCCAGAGTAGAAGTAATATGTCTTACGAAAAAAGATGAAAAAAAAAACTAAAAATAATTGAAAGAAAAATTATGAAAAGAATACACAGCCCAATAAAGACAGAACAAGGAGAATATAAAACATGAATGTACCATGAAATAAGAAAAATAACCAAAGAGGAAGACATAGTAAAATTTATTGAAGCACAAGGACTGAGATGGTTTAGACCAATACAAAAATGAGAAGAAGATAACAAACTGGAACCTAGTAATAAACAGACCAAGAGGAACACGAAAAATAAGATGGAAGTACCAACTGCTAGAGGATATATCAAAGATGGAAATTGCAAATTGGAGAGAAAAGATTCAGGAACGGAGAGATTGGAAAAATATAGTAGACAACGCAAAACACATACTATATCTTTGAGAAATAGCCTATGTAGTTTTTCGGGTTTGACTCAGCGATGAATAATTTCGGATAAAATCATTATTTTGACGACGTTTTGACAAGGTCGCACTTGCCATTGTCAAGTCAGTTGTAGCGCTTCCCGCTGATGCTTGAAGTTAACTGACTCTCCTGGTCGATTCGTTTATTTGTTATAGCCGCAAGGCTTCTTGTGATTAATCATGTCCGTGTGTAAGTAGTCAAGGTCCTACTAGTTGGTCTTGTGGTCTGATGTATTTTTGACTTTTTCTTTAATACCGCTTTCCATGTTGTTGTAAACCTTTGAGCATCATCTCTTTGGATTAGACTGTTGGGATTTTATTCTATTTCTATTGATTCTCTGACTTCATGTTTTCTTTTAATTTCAGTATTATCTGCATCGTAATTTGGTTCAGGTCCTTTGTCTAACATGTCTCAAACATGTAATATTTAGACCAGGGCCCGATTAATTTTAAATTCTTTCGCGATCGATATTTTGAGCACCGTTGTTTCACAGAATGAAAAAAATTAACAAATAAAGATTGGGTAGAATTCCAGTTTAAATATTTATAGACACCTATTAAGTATTTTCTCCATTTTTTAAACGTTTTATATACTTAATTCAAGTATGGAACCATGCTCCAATATCAAATAAAGTGTAGATAGATATTTTTTGTCTATCTTTGATTGGGTAGGAATCAAGTTGAAATATTTATAGACACTTATTAAGTATTTTGTCCATTTTGTAAACGTTTTATATACTTAATTGAAGTATACAACAGTTTTCTAATATCAAATAAAGTGTAGATACACATTTTTTATATTTATATTAAGATACATTTATTAATACTCACCCTAGTTTCGGTGTGGAGAGATTCAGGTAGCAAAAATATTGCGTACAAAACACTTATAACTAACATTGTCGTTGATATTAGATATACCATCGTATAACTGGTGGCGTACAATAGGTAAGAAGAAGCGAGACTTGCAATTATATTGGCAAGGGCCATAGATACACTATAAAGTCCCATTCTGCAAAAATAGGTTTTTATGAGTATTTACAATATAAAAAATAAATAACGTTATATTCATACGCACTATAACTCCAGCCAATAAAAAATGAAATGAGTCATACGCGTGATGACTTAAGTTTATCGTATTATTTAGCTGCTCCTATGAGTTTTATCAAGAAGCGTCTCAGTAGCGAATAATTTTTTTCTATTTAGCATATGGCATACTAAGAACACAATTAAACACAATAGAAAACGTTTAATGTTGTATTATAAACGAACATCTAATATATTAATATACATAACCTAAAACATTTTCGGTCTCATTCAGGAATTCAATCTTCTTAATTTTTCTTGATGTTCTGTCAATACATTACCCTCCATGTTCAGTTGCGGGTAAAATTTTCTTATCTTCTTTGGCTTACTTAGTTTTTATAGTTCCTAAAGTTCTTTGTACATGTTTTTTTATACTTTCTATGGTGGATTTTCTTGTTTTCCTTACCTAGTTTTTTATATTCCTTCTTTGCTTGTAGAGTTCTGTGCCCCTGTTGCATCAGTAAATATGCTCTGTTCATATTTCTATTATAATCTGACATTCTTCGTCAAACCAGTTATTCGTTTTTGTTTTTTTATTACCTTTCATGCCTTGTAATTCTTTAGTTGCTTCTTTCATGAAGTTTCTGCACCCTTCCTACTCTTCATTTATGTTTTCATGTGTTAGTCTGTTTTCTAGTTTGATGTTTATATTCTCTATTTTGTTCGTCTCTTTAAATCCTTCTATATTGTATCGTTCATCTATAGAATCTATTTACTTTTTTATGTTTAAAATTCTGGCCTAAACCCTTTTTCGACAGTCTACAATAACATGATCTATCATACTTACTGTAAGTCGGTCCAGGTGACTTTGTGTGTATCTTTTCACGCAAAGATACAATTATACAATCGATTAAAAAAAACTACTATAAAAAGAAGACATTTATGAAATCAGAGCATCAAAAATATTAAAAATTCGTTATTTCTCAAGCACCATTTTTTTCCTTTTGTCCGACTGTGTTATCATTCGTGTTCCATACCATGCAAGTTAAATGTTTACTTTGTATTCCAGTTCTTCCTTTGGAGGAATTTTCATTTTTTTATTGAGCTTGTAAAATGAAAATATTTGCTTTGTTGCAGCAATCGTTGATTTAGCTGCTAATTCAGCTGTCGATTCATCTGTTGTGTTTATTTTGAGATGTAAAGACATATTGTCAGGACATTGATTAATTGCGCTATTAAATAGACTCGGTTATTTTGACACTCAACAGAATTAATTTTTTCTCAGAAATAAACTTTAATTCTTGATAATTGCCTTTTGTTCTATTAACTGACGAATACGTAGGATCAGTTGCGGGGAGGATTATATTTGTAACAATATAATTGAAGGAAACCTATTTTATAAACTAATTCTAATGTATTATTTTTATTATTATAAGCAGAAATACAATATTCTATTGTTACAAGTAAATAGCTAGGAAATATATATTATATATATATATATATATATATATATATATATATATTCTTTATATATATATTATATATGTATATATATATGTATATATATATATATATATATATATATATATATATATATATATATATATATATATATATATATATTCTTTTATTATATTCCATTTGGATTTTTTAATTCAAATTTTAATTAAATATTCCTCTTACAACACTTTTTTACTTCTATGTTCGAGTTTTTTAAATACATTTTCTTCTTTTTCTTTGAGTGCCTCTCCTATCGGAGATTGAATATCATTATGACGATTCTAATTTTATTAACTGCTGTTTTGAATAATTCGTTAGCGGTACAGCCAAAGCACTCTCTTTATATTTTCTTAAGTGCCGCCAATGATTGAATTCCAAAATTTCTGAAAATTCATGATTGACACGTGATTTTGACTATTTTCGACCAGTTACAATACGTGATTTTGGATGACAAAAGTTTTTGTTTACTAGAGTTTACGAGATAAGATATATATATATTGTAACATTTAAATTTAAATAATCTAAAAATCTAATTGCATAAATTTAAGCTTTTCTTAAATTTTTATATTTTAGTCAAAATAATAAATCTGTAGAGAAGAATAATAATTATAAAAAATCTCGCAACTGGTTATACTTTAATGAGTTAAAAAGCATACTTACCTAAAAACTCTTGTCTTTGGACTTGTTGTATCTGCCAAATACAAGGCAACTATAAGAAATACTGTACCAAACCCTCCAGTCACCACCGATGGCATTGCGGTAGCAATAAAATACCAAGGTGAGATATTTTCAAAATACGCAACTAATGCATTTAGACCATTTGATATTGTAAGCCCTAAAAATGATTAAGTATGATAATATTTGAATAGTATTCGTCTTGTGTTCTTATTAATTCTGTTTCGTTATCCACATAATATGATGCATATATGCATAATGATTTATAGCTTAGATAATAAGATGACAATGGTAGAAAGTTTTAATGATATTTTAGCGAACTAAAAAATGGTGCTCAAATTAAGTAAGTTTTGCAGATTTGCTTGCCTTGAAAATATACGGGCTCTGAGGAGCATCAATAGCCCCTCAGATTTTCAATAATTTTCAATATTTTAGACATTTTAGGGAGCAGACTGTGACAGGATTGTAGGACTTTATTGAAATTAGGCTTATTTGGACTATTTTCCAAACCAGGTAAAAATATACTGTTTTTAATACAGCGTTATATAGTGCGTAATTAAAAGTAAGGCTTTTCTTGGTAATTCATTTTAAGACGTTCAGCAAAAATTTTGGGTTTTTCTTCTTCACTTTTTGCCCATGAGCTATCTTCAGTGCCTATGGGAAGGTTGGAGAGTTGAGAGCATTCTATTTGCCTGGTTGCATTCCAGAGTAAATACTGGAAAATTAAATTACGCTTTTTACTGCGTTGCAGCTCTATTCACATTGGTCTCTTCTTGTAATACTCTCGTCAGCTGCCATCTACGTCTTAATACTCGTTTTTCAATTATTTTTTGTTTGATTGTGTTGGATAATTCATGAGTAGGGCGGTTTATTTCCTTGATTATCGTTAATTCTTATACAGCTTCTCGTATGGATCGGTTAAAGTATTTAAAGGATACTTTAGATAGTTTTAATTTATTAATTAGTAACTATATGAATTGTTTCCAGTTTGCCTGTTTGTTATTTAATATAGAAGGTGATTTTTGTGAAGGCTTTTTGAACTTAACTTTACTTAAAACAGTAGAATGGTCAGAAGACAGATCATAACAAGATGAAACTCTAAGTTGATTGGTGGGCAAACCCATAGTATACCAAAATCTACCAGATTTGTTACTTTATTTCTATCGGTAGGCTAGTAAGTAGGTTCACAACTGGATATATGTTTAATATAGTTGTCTTCCATATACATATAAAGTTGTCGCTTTTGGAGAAAAAGTCTAGATCTCAGTGGGTATATTTAGCGTTATAGTCTCTACCTGCCAAGAATCTATTTTCAAGAGATCTGAAAAACTGTGTGAATTATTTTTTATTTACGTTATGTCGTGGTGGGCAGTAGATGGCTGTTATTATTAATGGTCCTTCTTAATGCTCCCCAACATATTCATCGAATATGTTGGTGACTTGCAAATAGTCTTTAGTCTTCTAGTGGTTTGCTATGCTTGTAATGCTTGATTAAGTTCTTGATTATAACTGAAGATGCCGTACATAATTAGAAATTTGAAATAACTGCGGTTGGTCAAATAAATTTCAGATACCAGGATTATGCAAATTTTCTTGATATTATGAATGCTTTCACATCTTGGGCATATTGGGTTGGCCTGTTGACATTCCAGGGTGCCATTTTGAGAAACTTGGTAATTTGGATAGTGCAGCTACCACTGTAGTCAAAAGGTTTATCATCGCACTAACCTCAAACATACACCTTTGGTTTCGTATGATATCTGGCTTTCGGGCTGTCTCAAACTTGTGGTAGGGAGTTGCTGTTGTTTGTTTGACGTAACCTTAGTATATGTATGCTGTGTTGTAAATATTGCTTATGTTTAATATTGTTAGAGCTACCTTGCTTTGGCCGAATATTTGTTCTGTTGTGTTCTTTGTATATTGAACAGCCCGTGTAGTTGGCTGGCTATGATTGTCTTCGCAGAGTATGCATTCGATACAGTTGATCTTTATTTTCTTAAGCATTGAGTCGTGTATTCTCTAATACACCGTAACGCATCTTTTCCTATGAATGCAATATTTCTCAGTAAGTATATAACTTTGGCACCTAGTGCATTTTAGTATGTCTCCTTTCTGTCGCGTTGGTTCAAATTTTATTTTGTGATTAGGTAAAAGCTCTAGACCATCAATAAAAAACTAGCTCCAATTTTTCATGCTTTACGGCTTGATTTTTTGAAGTCAAGGTTTTCGACTATCTATTCATTTTTGCGTCTAGCTATATCAATGTTGTGTGAGAGCTCGTCAGTTTTTTCTCGGTCACCTTTTAAAAAACAGGGCGTATTAGTCTTCACATATTTCAATCTATTCGAACACATATGCAATACCCCCTTGGGATGGTTTGCTTTGCAGCACTATTACTGCTACCAAAAATATTTGGTAATTTTTACTGGTTGGAAGGATCTAGCTCAAGATGTGATATAGTTGTTGAGCGATTCTTCCAGTTTGTTTTTTTCAGATTATACCTAGTTCGCGGATATTATCTAAATACTGGATTGATATGTCGATGATGATAAGACAGGACGATGTTGAGTAAGTGAGAAGTGTGCAGGGACACTTGTCCCAGATGTTAGTTGTCTATCATTAGTATCTTTTAAGACAAATCATATATTTGGGTTATATTTTTTTCTTCATGCAGTTGATTTAAATGTTTCTCTATCTTTGGAATCAATAACTAGATATTTGTTTTAGCCTTTGGCTATTTGAGTTGTGATTCCTCATTTAAGTTATATACCTCCACATTTTCTGGTGGGCGTTGAAGGCAATGTATATAGAAGGGTATGGATGTCTTTATCACTTCCGGTTTCCATACAGTGCTGGAAGTCTATATATGTTGTTTATAAATCATCATCATCATCATTGGTGCTACAGCCCTATAAAAGAGCCTCGACCTTCCCAATTCTATTACGCCAGTCAGTTCTATCCATTGCCAATTGTTGCCAGTTTACTGCGCCTATTTTTCTACCATCCTCATCTACACCATCATTGCTTATAAATGCCTCATATTTTTTGCCAAAAGTCAAAATCGGAATTTCATGCTAAACTTTTTAAAAATTAGGCTCTAACAATGAAAATTAAAAGTGATATTATTTGCGGCAAAATACAAAAAATGCATTCGAAAGCTGTACTCTTTACCTTTAAAACTCGTTTCGATTTTTGTTCATGGAACATTCTGATAAAAAATATCAAATCTTTACCGTCGAGTTATTATAAATTTTATTTAAAAAGTTGATTTCACGAGCGCCACTGACGTTTAAAATCGACGGTGGCTTCAAGTGTTGTTTCTGAGAGAACGATTCACTCTACAGAAAAAGTGTCAAAGTAAATTCATTCAGAAAATTCCCAATTGTAAACAAACGCACTCTAATTCGTCAAGAGGTTATTACATATAATTTATTGCCCTAAGCCAGACGGATTCTCATTTTACAGGTCCAAACTTGTACGTAAAAATGACGCACTTCTCGTGGAAAACTCACTGTCGAGGAAAATGCTTATTTTTTTTATTCTTTCTCGTTGAAATATTCGATTTGGAATTTGACGAATAATAACCTACTTTTCATTAGCTACAAATGTGCTTCTGGCTTTATACGTACACCATTTCTTTGCTATTTTATAAGCTATTTTGTTGTCGAAAAATGAACATATTCACTTGCAAATAACTGGAAAGGTACCTATTGACTCTGAGAAAAAACTCTATAGAACAAAGGTTAGGTACTTAGAATTACTCAGTTTATCCAATTCCTGACTTATTTTGAAGTGTGATTTTTACCCTTGAGAATAGCTGAAACTCAACCCTAGGGGAAAAACACACATCGGCAAAATATAACTTTTTTTATTTAACATCTTAGCTATTTGTATGCCAAATACCATGTCAACCCAAGCTGCTCTTTGGGGAGGTTTAATCGTAAGTGAATGGAATATTTCTGGACTTGAAAAAGTATACAGAATGCAGTTTCATAACTTTACCGATATTTTCGATGATGCTGGTTATATTACAATACATATTATTTTGACATTTTCTCAATCAACTAAGTACATTAAGTTATCAAAGATAAATAGAATAACAAAAATGTCAAGCACTGATACAGCCGATGAACTCCTTGATATTGATTTAACCCTCACTCCACCTAAGAAAAGACCAGTAAAGGGATATTTTGACGTTAAAACAAAGGACATGGTTAAAAATGTATTTAAAACGGAAATGCAGGAGAACCCTTCAATGTCGAAAAGTGCGATTTCTATTAGAGTAGTAGATAAAACAGGTACTGATATTGTTTCTCCATTATTTATTTAAGATTGCGCATTTTTACTTTATTTAACAAATATTGTTACTTTTTATCTATTGTAGGCATGTGTAACCGTAGTATACGCAATGTGGTTCATTAATATGAAATTACGGGAATATTGTCGATACCAAAATCAGTTGAGCATCGTAAAAGTATTGTTAACTCGAAATGAAATACCCACAATAGACAAAGTTGTTAAAGAAGATCCGGTTTTGCCTAACTTCAAAAGAACTACGTTTTTTTTAAAATTATTAAAAGAAATAAATTTTAAGTTTCAACGTCGTCAGGGAAACAGCATTTTGATGGATAGGGACGAGATTATTTTGTAGAGACAAGACTTGGCTAAACGCTGGTCCCGCCAAATCTAAAGTATGGGTCGACAATTTGGTAACGTCTTATAAACAAGCGTTTTTAGATGGAATTTCTACATGGTTAAAAAATCCTGCAGGTAAATGTTTATATGCTTTTTCACTTCAAGTAAATTTTAAAATAATAAAATTTTTTAGGAAAAGGAAAAAGACATGATCTGTCACATTGGCAGTGAAGATGGGTCTCTTCCAAAAGGGCTCTGGTTGTTTGAATAAAAAAAGTGGGGAGTACCATAAAGAGATGGACGAGAAATCTTTCAAAAATTGGTTCAAAAATATACTGCCCCGATTAGAAGACAACTTCATCATCATATTGGACAACGCGTCATATCATTCCAGAAAATTGGAAAAAATTCGAACTACTGCTTCTAGAAAAGCTGACATTTAATCGTGGCTGAAATAAAAAAATATAGGGTTTGAGGACTCCATGTTAAAAAATCGTTAAGGAGCATTAGGGACAATATAATAAATATATCATTGATGACATGACAAAACAAAGCGGTGTTAAGGCTGCCCCATACCATTGTCAACTCAATCCAATTGAGCTCATCTGGACAGAAGTAAAAAATATGTATCAGGAAAAACATTACTTTTAAATTTGCAGATGTGAAAAATATTTTTAAAGATGTAATAAATAATATTAGTCCAACTACGTGGCAGAAATGTGTTCAACAAGTTCAAAAGTCGAGTAAAAAATGTGGAAGTTGGACAATATAATAGAGAACTATATCGAACCCATAATAATAAAACCAGACGAAGACAACAGCACATGTAGCTTCTCAGACTCTAAGTAATTTAAATGGTATGTTTTTATACTTTGATAAACTTATGACAATGCCACTTTTTTCAAAATGTTCACTTTGTTATGTATCTCTCAGTTGATGAATATTTTTTTAGCACATTTTTCTTCAATGGAACATTAAATTTTGCTCACAATGATTAAATTTTAAGAAATTCTTACACTAATAGTTTCAAAATTAAATCAAAAATAGTTTCAAAATTAGGAAAAATCATATGATACACCTCAGTACGACCCTGTTTGGCTTTCACGTGCGTGTGTTTACAGTTGGAAATTTGTAATATAAATGTAGTTTAATAAACAATTTTTTACGGCATACGTGTTGTTCTTGGAACATCGATGTTTTTCGTTACCCCATCCCGCACAAGGAAAATTTTAGGGGAAAGCCCGGGCATAGGAATGGTAAATTTTCTACATCTTTTATGGGGTCCCGAAATTTATATTTTCACCATAATTGAGCTTGTTCGTATGCTTTTTAGAGCTTTAGTAGCATATTCGTCTCTGGCACCTAGTGTAACCCTTCAAGAGAAGTTTTTATTATTGTTAGTACTCGCTAGAATGCCAAATTATTTTTTCCCTTTTATATTTTTTTAACATTTAAAACTGTTTCGAATACACTCTTTCATAAAATTTTACATTTTATCTTTGAAAACATGCATAAATAAATATGTAGATAAATAAAATTACCTGCAAGACATGTAACTAAAAATGGTTTCCGTCCAATTTTATCAGATACTATTCCAACAACAATACTAAATATAATTGGAAAAATTGATTCAGATACCACCATAACAGTTTCAATATTATTAACTGTCGGTTGAACTAACGGTTCTAGTCTTTTTGTAATATTATTACTTTCGTTTCCCAACATTTCACATTCCGTTTTATTGTAATTCAGTATAACGTAACATGTCCTGTACATAAAAAGATTTGTTGAAATTGGACCTAAAAATAAATTTATTTTTGTTTATATTATATAGAAAATACAAATATTTCCGAACATAGTAGACAAATTAAAAACGACAAAATGGTCTAAAAATAGGCCTACTTTATTTATCATAGACATTTGCCTTAGGAGGGGAACTTCCAACTGGGGGAGAGGGGAACTTTCAATGAAACACCAACCAAAAGACTTCTTGTTGGGCGATTTCTCCATTTTCCCTTCGTGTGTATCCGCCATTAAGTAAAGAAGGTGTGTGAAGTTGTTGCTCGTATCTTCTTACCTTTGCTGTTAAAAATAATGTTCGGGCATTGCATGTTGTGACCTTAAACGTATGTCTTTTTTGCCCTGCTAAGTTTTTGGCCCTGCGATAGAATGCTTGAGAGAGATTCTGGACTAGAGATCCTACTAACACAGAATAATAAACAATCAGAATGCCCACTCTGCTTTTAAAAAATAAGTACGCGCATCTCGTTCGCGCAGACGGAATCAGCCATGTTTTAAACGGAAACAGTGCTGTTCAGTGACATTTTATCTGGTGTGCATAGACAAATTAACCCGGTTTAATTTATTTACGGCAACTACAAACATAATATTATGCATTATTTTATTCGTACTTTTAGTTGAAGAATAGATTAAATTATTTCAAATGTACTAAATTCTTAATCTCTAAAAAATTAAATTACAGTTCTGTCGTAGCTTGTCACAAATTTCTCAATTCGAGTCTATGTTTCCGTCTAAAACATGGCGTTCGCGTTCTGACAAACTTCATAAAGGCGGCATTTGAGAGTAGGCATTCTGATTGTTTATTATTCTGTGCTACTAACCTGGAGAATTACAGTTTTAAAACTGAAAATCAATTTCAAGGGATGTAGCAAATAAATCTTTACTGTTGCCAAATGGGTTGGTGAGTTTCGCTATTTTATGACTAATTATGATAACAAGCATTACAGTTCAATATAATATTGATATGAAGAGTGAAGAGCGTAGGCGCAAAATTTCGGGCCAATGATTTTTAAATGCATTAATTTTTTTCGAATCCTGAGAAAACTAATAAATATTTTCGAAAAATTTATACGCAGAATGAAAGAATACATTATTACCGAGGTCCGAATGTCCCTGAACTTCTATAATGTTTATTTTAATAAGTTACAGGGGTGAAAAAAAAAGAGAAAATTTAGTGTGATTTTTAATTTCAAATATCTCATTCAAAACAACTTTTTGTTTATTCTAAGGGACTTTCGGCCCTCGGTAATAATATAATCTTTCATTCTGTATTTAATTTTTTCAAAAATATTTGTTAGTTTTCTCAGGATTCGAAAAAAATGAATGCATTTAAAAAGCTTGGCCCGAAATTTTGCGCCTACGCTCTTCTCACACGGTCAAATATTTGATCAAACTAGTTTGACCAAACGAAAAAATTGACAGCATATGACGTCTGAATTTGATCAAATCCTCTAAAAATGAAGAATTTTCTATTTTTCAAGGACAGTTTGAACAAACTTTAACTTTAATTGGTCGAAAAATATCTAAAGACATATCACAATCAGTTAGAGATAACGTGATGAAATTCATTTTCCTTGGTTGATAGTGTGTGATTGATTTGTTTTCCTATTTTGTTAGAAAATAAAAATAGAAGTTTATCTTGGAGTCAGGAACAAGTTTCTACATGATTATTGATTTAAAATGAGAAAAGGCAGCAAATATTTGATTTCACGCAAACAAATCCTATGTATCTCTTGATACGTATTTCGACCTAATAGGTCTCGTCAGAAGAGCTATTCATAGGGCTTCTCAACGTGAAAAATCAATATTCTCTGCCTTTTAAGAAGCAACAATAACATGGCTTCAATACGGACGCAGTAGCGACATCTAATTAAACAATCGTAAAATAGTTTCGAAACACAATTCAGATTTCTGCTTTATAATCTGAGCCTTCTAAGAATTGCAAGGCAAACAGACGTTGATAAAAGGTGTTAAAAGAGACATGGGGAATCTAAAATTTGCATTCCACGACATGTCTTTTACAACTAAGCAGAAATCCTTAGCGAATTGTGTATCTCGTACTCCCACAGGGCATATCCGAATAAAATGAGAAAAGGCAGCAAATATTTGATTTCACGCAAACAAATCCTATGTATCTCTTGATACGTATTTCGACCTAATAGGTCTCGTCAGAAAAGCTATTCATAGGGCTTCTCAACGTGAAAAATCAATATTCTCTGCCTTTTAAGAAGCAACAATAACATGGCTTCAGTACGGACGCAGTAGCGACATCTAATTAAACAATCGTAAAATAGTTTCGAAACACAATTCAGATTTCTGCTTTATAATCTGAGCCTTCTAAGAATTGCAAGGCAAACAGACGTTGATAAAAGATGTTAAAAGAGACATGGGGAATCTAAAATTTGCATTCCACGACATGTCTTTTACAACTAAGCAGAAATCCTTAGCGAATTGTGTTTCTCGTACTCCTACAGAGCATATCCGAATAAAATGAGAAAAGGCAGCAAATATTTGATTTCACGCAAACAAATCCTATGTATCTCTTGATACGTATTTCGACCTAATAGGTCTCGTCAGAAGAGCTATTCATAGGGCTTCTCAACGTGAAAAATCAATATTCTCTGCCTTTTAAGAAGCAACAATAACATGGCTTCAATACGGACGCAGTAGCGACATCTAATTAAACAATCGTAAAATAGTTTCGAAACACAATTCAGATTTCTGCTTTATAATCTGAGCCTTCTAAGAATTGCAAGGCAAACAGACGTTGATAAAATATGTTAAAAGAGACATGGGGAATCTAAAATTTGCATTCCACGACATGTCTTTTACAACTAAGCAGAAATCCTTAGCGAATTGTGTTTCTCGTACTCCCACAGAGCATATCCGAATAAAATGAGAAAAGGCAGCAAATATTTGATTTCACGCAAACAAATCCTATGTATCTCTTGATACGTATTTCGACCTAATAGGTCTCGTCAGAAGAGCTATTCATAGGGCTTCTCAACGTGAAAAATCAATATTCTCTGCCTTTTAAGAAGCAACAATTCGCTAAGGATTTCTGCTTAGTTGTAAAAGACATGTCGTGGAATGCAAATTTTAGATTCCCCATGTCTCTTTTAACACCTTTTATCAACGTCTGTTTGCCTTGCAATTCTTAGAAGGCTCAGATTATAAAGCAGAAATCTGAATTGTGTTTCGAAACTATTTTACGATTGTTTAATTAGATGTCGCTACTGCGTCCGTATCGAAGCCATGTTATTGTTGCTTCTTAAAAGGCAGAAAATATTGATTTTTCACGTTGAGAAGCCCTATGAATAGCTCTTCTGACGAGACCTATTAGGTCGAAATACGTATCAAGAGATACATAGGATTTGTTTGCGTGAAATCAAATATTTGCTGCCTTTTCTCATTTTATTCGGATATGCTCTGTGGGAGTACGAGAAACACAATTCGCTAAGTATTTCTGCTTAGTTGTAAAAGACATGTCGTGGAATGCAAATTTTAGATTCCCCATGTCTCTTTTAACATCTTTTATCAACGTCTGTTTGCCTTGCAATTCTTAGAAGGCTCAGATTATAAAGCAGAAATCTGAATTGTGTTTCGAAACTATTTTACGATTGATTATTGATTTATATGAAGAAAGAAGCTGTTTATATACCTAATGTGAATCATCCACATTATTATAAAAAATACTTTTAGCCTTTTTATTTTCATTATGTACTAGAAAAAAAATTGAATCGTAAATGAGGCACAAGCTACTAATAAATAAGCAAAAAAGATAATTAATTTTATAAACATACGTAAATGTGATCAAATTTGAATATTGTCGTCATTACGTCAGTTTGTCCAAATTAGTTTGATAAAATATTTGACTGTCTGACACGGATTGTATATTTTCTTGATTTCAGATCTTACAGTTATCTCGCTAATATTCGGTTGGTCTACAGCCTTGTTTGATATTTGACAGAAGTATCACGTGAATGTGATTAAAAAAAAACAAGATGTGTATCTAAAAGAATAACCTATTACCTTATGCCCATCAAAAAAGTACGATATTTTTAGCTTAGAAGTGAATATATTATGCCTCCCTATGATGCTCATGATGCTGTGAATGGTGCTGATTCGTTTTTTATTAAAAAAAAGACCAAAAAAGACATGTAAAGGTGGTCACTTGGAAGACGTATGCTCCATAATAAGTGACAAAATAAAGAAGAAGAAAGATCGAATAGTAAAATACAATTGCATTTTATTTTGTGTAGAGTTAACATTTTGATATCTGGTAAAATGGAGGCTTTTAAAATTTCTTCTAGTTTTTCTTCTTCCTCCTTATAAGCAATTCTGCTTATTCATTGGCGAAATGATACCTCTATGGAAGGTTGTCACTCCATATTTTGCGCGGTCCTTTGATACGTCTTTTACCGATTAGGGATTTATCTCTTGCTGTTTTGACCATACGGGTCCCTCCATTCTGCTTTTGTGATTATTTTATTCTTTTTTCTGTTTAGTGCCCATTCGTTTATATACTGTACGTTACATTTCCGTCCAATGTCTTCACTCCTCTTTCGATCTCTTAGCCTATCGCCTGTAATTCTTCTCAATACTTTCATTTCTGCCGTTTTCAGTAGTCTATTTGGCTATATTCGGTCTTTTTTGTGATGCATATGTCATTAATAATCTTATACTGGCTATATAAATTTTTGACTTCATCTCAGTCTATTTGCTTTTATTCTTAATCTATCACTTCTTTCAGGATCATATCAATTTTATACTATAAACAGCGAGCAAAAGTAGGTGTTAACAAACAGCTGTCAGAAGAAATTGAAATTAGGTGTGGAGTGAGAGAGGGATGCGTCGCAGCAAATTGTCGCCAATTTTTTTTAATGCCTACTCCGAAGAGATCATGAAAAACGCTCTTGGGGTGAAACAGCCGAAATAAAGGTAAATGGAGTTCCCATTAACAACATTAGATATGCGAACAACACTGTGATCTTAGCCGAAAACATTGAAGATCTTCAGAGACTGGTGACCAGAATAGCAGAGTATGGAAAAGAATATGGTCTAACAATGAATGTCAAGAAGACGAAATTTATGAGAATATTGAAAACTCAAAGAAATAATCTGAGAATCGTCTAGTAAATGGAACCAACGTCGAACAAGTGTACAAATATGCATATCTGGGAGCAATAATTAACTCCACAAGTGATTACAATCAAGAGATCAAAATAAGAATAGAAAAGGCTAGAGCAAATTTCAACAAAATGAGAAAAGTGCTATGTATCAGGGATTTAAAACTGGAACTAAGAGTTATGTTGGCAAGGTGTTTAGTTTTTTCGACCTTATTTTATGGAATGGAATCTTGGACATTGAATGCAACATCAATGAAAAAATTGAATCATTCGAGCTGTACAATCGAATTATTCGGGTGTACAGAAGAATATTGAAAAAATCGTGGACAGAACACGTCACAAACAAAGAAGTTCTATTAAGAATGAATAAAGAAATGGAAATTTTAAATACAGTAAAAACAAGAAAATTAGAATATCTACACGAGGAGAGAAATACACCCTGCTCCAATTGATTATGCAGGGAAAGATACAAGGAAAGAGAAGCATAGGGAGGGGTAGAATGTCATTGCTGCACAACCTGAGAAAGTGATACGGATGTACATCAAATGAGCTTTTCAGAGCAGCCGTCTCAAAAATCCGAATAGCTATGATGATTTACGACCTCCGCCGCGGAGATGACACTTGAAGAAGAAGATCACTTCTTTGTCCAAATCTCGGACATAGCTCGATAGTAAAATTCCAAGGTATTTTATTTCGATTATTTGTTTAATACTGATACCATCGAATACTATTGTACATCTGATAGGTCCTTTGCTGATTATTATTGTTTTAGTCATGAGATTGTCATATTAAGTTCTTTTGCTCTTATGTTAAATCTGTTGATTACTTTATTATTATTATTATCTTTATCTTGGGCGTATCAATAATACTTTGCTTAACAGAGTATTTTTATTTCTTTGTTTTCCATTCTGTATCCTCTTCATTTGTTAACAGTTTTAATAATTTCATCCATGAATCAATTGAAGAGCACAGAGCTTTAATAGTTCCCCTATTATATTCCGCTACCTGTGTCTATAGATTCTGTAAGTTGTCCATCTATTCTGATCTCCATTTTGTTGTTTTGGTAGATGTATTAAATAGTTTTTATGAATCTAGGGGAAGTTTTCTATTATGCAGAAGATAAATTACATATTTGAGTCTTACCCTGTCAAATTAACGCTTTTTTCAAGTCAATAAGATACAAGTCAAGTCAAGGATTTGTTCTTCCTCTGCATAGAGCTTTTTTAGATATTAAGTTTATTCTTTATTCGTCTATTAGTTCCTCTATCTCCGTTCTTTGATCTCTTATAAAGAGCCACATTTCCTTTTGCAGACCACAAAAATTATATTTCATTTATCCCGAAAAACCAGTGATAATTTTTTATTCTTCCTACAAGTTTATGTATTTCGTTTCATTTAAATGTCAAATGTGACAAAATGAAGAGGAAAAATCGAGTAGTAAAATACAATACGCATTTTATTTCGTGGGCTTTTAAAATGTCAATTCTTTGCTGACGGCAAAAAAAATTTCCAAGACCAATACCAAAGAAAATTAATAAAATTTGCAGGGAATAAATAGTAATTATTATAAAGCAGATTATAAAAATAAATATTGAAGATAAATTTAACTAGATACGTTAACGAGCACAGCCCAAAAGACTTCACTCTCGTTTATTTGCAAAAATACACATAAACAGAAGAAAACAAACAGGCTTTCCATTGTTATCGTCGGTTTGTATTCATGGAGATGCAACAAACAAGAAAAACCTTTCCAACAGATATTCAAATACTATGTTAATAACTACACATTTTGTAATATTATATTCAAATTTTCAATCAAATGTACCAAAAAATTAGAAAGGAAATAAACACAAGGAAAAAAATTTGGACAAAGATATACTTACCCAACAAAATTTGACTAATAACACATAGTAATAGGGGAATTTCCACAGGAAAAAAAAACTTGGAGCCCATTTTTAACACAATATGAGAATAACAGGTTACTTGAGATCTAATATAACTACTACATCCAAAATAAAAGTGTTGGGAATATATACCCTTATTCTAATTGGTGAAAGATAATCTTTAATTTCATGCGTATACTAACTATAATTACTTTTTTTTTCAACAACTATGTAAAACAATTCAATTTTAATATGTTTATAAATATCTCAATTGTTGTTTGAAAGTACTTTGATATGCAGATTGCTTCTTTTTAAAAACTTTCTCCGAATTTTCTGATAAAACTTACTATATATTTTTGTATATGAAAATATTTCATAGTTAAGATTGGCCAGGTGTTTATCCTACCTCATTCATTATTATTCTAAATATTCTCAACCTCAGGTTTTCATAAAATTTATAATTGAAAAAATATGTAGGTATGTCGAGTGGTTTGATTTCAGATCTCCCAGAGAGATTTTTAAATATTTATACTAAATACCTTTATTTTAACGTTTAGATATTTCCCTAGAAAATCGTTTTCCATCCGAAGTGGACATTGTGAACAGGTTCTTGATTACTCGGAAGTAGGGATGGCGGTTTTTGAGAAAACACCGGTTTTCGGTTATACCGTTTTTTTTGCTTACGGTTTAACCTGGCAGTTATAACCGGCCAAAAAAACCGGTTTCTCCAAAAATCGGTTTTCGGTTTTTTTAATCAAATAGATTAAAAAGTTACATTTACAATGCACTTTAGTTTGCGATACTACATTCACAACACAATTTTTTGTGTTTTGTGAGAAAAAAATTCCCCAGACTCTTTCAAATAAGATTTAAAGAAAATAATATCAACATAAATATTTTACTTAAAAAAAAAAAATAAATTGGATAATGCAATTCATCTTTTATTTTTACTACCATCAAAAAAAATTTATCATGTATTACTTTTAACTCATTTACGACTTCCGGTAATCCGGAACTTCTGATCTGAATCTGACTTCCATCAAACCAAGAGTAGCCGTTCGCAAATGTTCCGTTTTGTTTTGCTTACCCTATCTCCAGCCTAGTAATTTCAGTCTCCAGTTTTTCACCCTCTATAAGTAATACCGTATGCGGTAGGTAATATAACCGCTACATGAAAAGTAATTAATTTGATCAAGTGATATAGTGGGCGAGACTTCTTACGCGAAATTCCTAAACTATTGTTAGACAAAGCGAAAAGCTTAGGTTCGTTCGAAAAAATATTCCCATGAGATTTTTTTGCCTAATCACCTTCATGAGATACCCCAAAATAAGGTTCAAGAGGTCGCCCAGGCGAAAAGTTGTTCAAATTTTTATAGATTTTTTTTAACAAGTTGTACGATTCGGATATTTTTTTTTTAGTTTTTTGGATCATTCTGAACACAATAGATGTTTTGTTATTTATTTTGTAAACTTGACAGTTTTCGATTTATAAACAATTTAAGATTGAAAAAAATGCAAAATTACGATTTTCAAGAATACAAGATTTCAAACCTTAAAAATGTTATTTTTAAATTTACTGAGATTTAAATTTAAGATCAAACCTTGTTCTATCATTTCCCGGTAAGTATTTTGGGCTTATTTACTTTTGAAACATTATTTCATAATCGTTAATGAAGCACTTATGATAGGACGGGCGCTCGGGCAGCGGCGTGTATAAGATAGAAAAACAAGATCTATGACACAAATTGTTGTTTATTTTATTTGAAAACATTGTTTTTACTTGTTAATGAACTGCGTATGGTACTGTGAGCGCTCATTTGTACAATGAGAATTCCAAACTAGCAAAAATGTGAACCATAAATCTTGTTTTTCTCTCCTATACACGCCGAGTCCGAGCACATGTCATGTCAAAAGCACACCCATTAAAAAATAATGTTTTAAATTTAAATCAACCCAAAATACTTAACGGGAAATGATAGAACAAGATTTGAACTTTAAATTTAGGTCCTTACATCCATCCATCCTACTACGTGAGGTCGATCAAGCACTTAACAATAATTTTTACACTGTCACTGTTTTTTGTGACTATGCCAAAACTTTCAATTGTGTAAATCACGAAATTTTGATAAAAAATCTAAATTTCTACGGAATTCGAGTTATTTCTTTGAATTGGTTCCAATCTTACTTGAGGAATAGGAAACAACTATTTAGGGCAAATGATACTGACTCTAGTCACAAAAGCATGGTAAGTAGAGTATGGGCCACTTGGGCGAGACAGAACGCCAGACGCCAGACAGGTCCACTCTGACCTCACTGGCGCCAATGTCGGTAAGCATTTGATTGCATTACCGGCCGAGTATAAACCTAGCCAGAACCGGAACTATTTTTAACTGTCAGTCAGTCAACTTTTCTTCGTCTTCTTCTTCTTCTTTAAGTGCCTCTCCTATCGGAGACTGGATATCATTAGGGCAATTCTAATTTTATTTACTTCTGTTTTGAATAATTCGTTAGTGGTACAGCCAAACCACTCTCTGATATTTCTCATCCAGGATTTCTTCTACGGCCTGGATTTCGGGGTCCTTGGATTTTTCCTTGCATTATATTTCGTAGGAATGTATACTTTTGTCCTCTCATCAGGTGACCTAAGTATTCAAGTTTTCTCTTTTTTATATTCAGTATAACTTCTGGATCGATTTATTTCGCACATATTTATTCTTCTTCTTTAACGTAGCTAATGTACGAACGAAGCTACACCGATGCTAATGATATGACACAAGCATGATAGACATATGGAAACATATGACAGACGTGTGGAAACCGTAACGAGTTGCATACTATATTTTATCTACGACGAACAAGTAATTCATTTTTAAAGTTGTTATCCTTGAAGATTGTAATTTTGCGTTTTTTCAGTTTTAAATTGTTTATAACTCGAAAACGATCAACTTCACAGAAAAATTTATAAAACAAAATAAAACATATTTATTTTGTTCAGAATAGTCTAAAAATTTGGAAAACTTGTCGGGGCTAAAAATAATTATTGTTATAATTTATTTGAAAAAAAAATGTTTAAAAAAATTTGAAAAACTTCTCGCCTTAGCGACCTATCATTTAAAAACAAAAATAAATCATTTAAAAACAAAAATAAATTATCTTTTCTTGTTAAGGTAAAACAAATTAATAAAGGCCATATAATGCAAGGGACCATTGCTGGCGGTTACCAAGCTAATTATATTATTCCAAATGTTACTAAACACAAATATGGCAAAAACCAACGGAAATACAAAATGGAGAAATCCTTGATAAGCTGTCATACTAGAATATATACCCAGTAATAGCGACCCTAAATTCAATATTTGTTAAAGGAGGACCGTCCAGCGAAACTACACAATCACAAGACCGACTGGAATCTGTATAGAGAAGAAATACATAAAAAAAGAAACCTTAATATTTCCCTAAAAACAAAAGATGAACTTGCCAGTATATGAATTTATTACACCTCTCCAAGATACTACCTGGAATGCCACTCCAGAACTTCAAGCTATACAGATTAAAAAAAACTATCCCATCAATACTAAAAACCTAATTGAAGAGGCGACTAAGAAAGACATGGCAAAACACAAGGCAGCAACAATAGTACAGCACAAAAACTCCTACGTTGAAAATTATCTGCTAAACTTAGCACCAACAGCAGATACCTGTTATTACCTGTTATTCACTTTGGAAGGCCACCAGGAAATTAAAACAAACCAGTAAACACACCCCAGCGTTTAAGAACTCAGATGGCTTATGAACGAGAACATATCAAGAAATAGCAGAGATATTTGGAAAATATATTGAAGCAGTTTTTCAACCTCTACCCTCTGTCAGTGCTGAAGTAGATGAAGCTACTTACGAAAGTTCAGCAGCACTCCAACGTCCAGGTAAATAAAATAGATAAGTTACAAGAAGAGAAGTAAAAAGTGCCATTAAATATGATTAAAAACTAAAAAAGCTCTTGGATATGACCTTGATAAAATTGATAAACTACCTCATGAACATACCTCTTATTGTCCCATTAGTCTCTTACCGCTAATTGCTAAACTACGTGAGAAGCTAATAGCAACAAGATTTATGAAGATAATAACTGATAACAATCTTTTCCCGGATCATCAGTTTGGTTTTAGAGAGAAGCATTTAACTATAAAGCAAGTGTTATGGATATAGTGAATAAAACTTTTGAGAAAAAAATCTGCTCCGCACTCTTTCTTGAAGCCAGTCAAGCTTTTGATAAAGTCTGGCGTAAGAGGTTGCTTTTCAAAATAACAATAAACGTGACAGAGTCAATGTTTAATTTACTAAAATCATATTTAAAAGGAAGATAGGTACTACCGTGTTAAGTATGAATCAGAAACATCAAAAATCTACCCTATACGATCTGGAGTCCCTCAAGGTAGTGTTCTGTATCCTATATTATATTTCATATTTACGCACGACATACAAACAAACAAAAATGTAACGACTGCAATATTCGCAGACGACACTGCTATGTTAGTCATATATAATAATCCTGCAACAGCTATCGAATCTCTTCAAAACGTATTAGGGAAATTGAAAAGTGGACAAAGAGATGACGCACACAGATAGATACGATAGATACATATAGAAATAAATAACAAAGCAATTCCACAAGCTGAAAGCATTTGCACCTGGACCAAACTCAGACATGGATACCATGTCAGCCAATATATCAAAAAAGCGCTAACAGTTGAACAGACCAGTGTCGCGATATCTCGCAACGTGAACGATCACACACAGGAGAATCGGTCCCAGTTCCAGAAAACAGATTCCTAAAAGAAGTGAACAGCAACGGTCCAAATCTGAAAACCCACGAAACGGGTCGCGAAATGGTATACACGTGCATCAATGTGCAACAATAGTGCATGTAAGGTACCAAAACCGGCAATTAAGCATCGAAAATTAATGAAGGTCAATAATTCCTAGAACCGGTTATTGAAAAACATAATAGGTGACAAGGGAATATCGACACTAGATGCTGTCCCAAAAAAATTTTTAGTTCAAGAAAATTTTACCGTATCCTCAATAACCACAACCTTTTTAGAGGTTGTGGTTATTGAGGATCC